GAAAATGGCAATGAAGCACCTGTTTCCAATTTTCCTTGGTGCCTACTGCACAGGACTGTGTTTACTGCAGAACATTTAAATCAAACATGCCACCTGAACCCAAAGCCAATCATCATTATTATGGACAAGGCAGCCTCTGCAAAACCAAATGGCATACTTTTCAGAGAAACATTTAGCAATATTTGGACCAACAGTTTGGCATTGATCTTTCAGATGTTTCTGTTTATTCAGAGTTGTCAATTGTCCAGGACAAGTATAATGCCAGCGAACGCCTCTGTTTCATTTGTACCATCAGCAACTTCCAGAAGATTTCAAAATTCTTGGAACGTTAATTGGGACTTAGTTAAACACATATTGAAAAGAAAAGGTAGTACATAAACAGATATAATAATAATAATAATAATAATAATAATTATTATTATTATTATTATTATTATTATTAATTTATACTCCACTTTGTATCTTAGGAGTTAGGACCCAAAGCCTTTTCACAACCTTAAAGGACAGAGAGTTTCATTTATGCAGACGATTGTGCCATCACCGCTCAAACAGAGCTTGAAATGGTTGAACAGAAGCTCTCTGAAGCTCTAGGTGCTATTACTACCTATTACAGGAAAAAATAGCTAATTCCTAATCTATCTAAAAACACAGATCTTAAGAACAGACAAGCATCTCGAGCTCTGAAGATTACTTGGGAAGGAATCCCCCTGGAGCATTACAGCACACCAAAATACCTGGGAGTCACTCTGGACCGTGCTCTGACTTATAAGAAGCACTGCTTGAATATCAAGCAAAAAGTGGGCACTAGAAATGACATCATACGAAAGCTGATTGGCACAACCTGGGAATCACAACCGGACACAGTGAAGACATCTGCCCTTGTGCTTTGCTACTCTGCTGCTGAATACCCAGTGTGGAATACATCTCGCCACATTAAAACAGTGAGTGTGGCTCTTAATGAGACATGCCACATTATCACAGGATGTTTACATTCTACATCACTGGAGATAGTATACTGTTTAGCCAGTATTGCAACACCTGACATCCATCAGGAAGTAGCACCCTGTAATGAAAGGACCAAGGCATTGACATCTCTGGCCCATCCTCTGTGCAGATATCAGCCAGCAAGCCAGTGCCTTGAATCAAGAAATAGCTTCCTAAGGTCTACAGAGATATTCGCAGGAACACCTCAGCAAGCGAGAGTCCAAAAGTGGCAGGAAAAAAAACCTGGAACCTCAATCAGTGGCAGATACCGGATGACAAACTCCATCCCCTCAGGCACACAGAAGACTGGGTGACTTGGAAGGAACTGAACAGACTGCGCTCTGGAACCTCGAGATGCAGAGCAAATAATCAGAAATGGGGCTACAAAGTGAAGTTCAAAACATGTAAGTGTGGAGAAGAGCTATCCACTTACTACAATGCAGCCTGAGCCCTGCCACATGCACAATGGAGAAACTTTTCACAGCCACACCAGAGGCATGCTAAGTGGCCAGCTTCTGCTCAAAGGAAATTTAGCATAATGCCAAGTTTTTAAACTTCATTTGTGTTTTAAAAAATACATTATAATTTACCCTTAAATTCCTTCTGACACGATAAATAAATAAAATAAACAAAGAACACTATACAATGTAAAAACCTACAAAAATAGAATTATCCGATTAGAATTAAATATGAACAAGTTAAAGTCACATCAATATGAGTAAGGATAAAATTGTTAAAAAGTTTTTAAACAGTTTTTTAAAAAACCAGACTTCACCCCCTTTCCCTTTCTTGAAATCTTTCTGTTTTCCAACTGGAATAAAAAGGTTTTAGTGCCCAATGCCTGAAAATGCAAACATACAGAAATGAGGGTGCGGCTGATAACTTAAGCATTACATAAAATATTGTGCCATTTTTAATCAACGAACCTCCAAGACGGTCCATCATTGAAACATCAAAAAATAGCTGTTTTGTGGTCATGCATTAATGAAATCAATAGATGGGCACCATTGTTCTATAAAAGTGTAATGATTTACTGACAGATGTGTTTGCTCACGTTATCGGACAGGTTTCCTAGAAGCTGAAGATTCCAGATATTCCTCCACTTCCTGGTTTTCCAATATCTAGCCATTTCCATCTAAGCAGCTGTGATGCAAACCAGGCTTCTGGTCTCAAATGCATTTTTTGTCTCTGACTAGAATCAGAGCTGTTTGTGATTATTAATTAACACCATCTGTTACAAAATGTTCACATGCACATAGTTAAAAACCAGATGCAGGATTGGTCTCCAACCTACATGTTGTAACCTAGGGTGCATTCGGTTATTGCACTCTGAAGCAGGTTTAGAAGCCTGTCATTTGTAGGTTTCAGCAACTTTGATGTGAAGCCCCCGGTGGCGCAGTGGGTTAAACCCATGCCGGCAGGACTGAAGACCGACAGGTCGCAGGTTTGAATCCGGGGAGAGGCAGATGAGCTCCCTCTATCAGCTCCAGCTCCTCATGCGGGGACATGAGAGAAGCCTCCCACAAGGATGATAAAACATCAAATCATCCAGGCATCCCCTGGGCAACGTCCTTGCAGACGGTCAATTCTCTCACAACAGAAGCGACTTGCAGTTTCTCAGGTCGCTCCTGACACGACAAAAAAAAAAAAAACAACAACTTTGATTTCGTCCATGAGAATTGAGGGTTGGCTCAAAAATGTTATTGTGTGAACCAATATATAGACAGAATGCAGTTCTGATGCCAGAAGTACTGTATTTACTTAAATCTAACACTCTTATTTTGGCTAAATCACCTAGTCAAAATTCAGGTTTGTATCATAAAGTCACCTCAGTGCTGAGCCAAAGCCAAAGGGGAGGCTGCTTGAGGAGCTCCTCTTTGAAGGCCACCACCTCTCATTTAATGACCAGGGTTCAATGCTATGCAATGCTGAGATTTGTAGTTTGATAAGGCATCAGCCTCTTTTGGCAGACACGGCTCAAGATGCTGCAAAATTACAGCCCTGATGAGTCATAGCATTGAACCAGAGTGGATTCAATCTACAGCATTGATGCACCCCAAGGTTTTCCTTTCCATTGCTGGAAGCTTTGGTGCTCGAACACTTTTGTTTTTAAAATAGTAATTCTAAGCAGAAAGCAACTGTAATGTCCCAATGACAAAGAGTGCATTACATGCGTCAACAATTTTTTTTTTGTTCCAAGTTTTGAAAGTTGTGTTGCGAATTAGATTTGATCACGCATGAGTCTCAAAAAAAATATGGATCCTTTCCAATCTGGCTTCAGACTGGGTCATGGAACAGAAGCAGCTTTGATCGCTTTGATGATCTACATGGAGAGATTGATAAGGGGAGTGTGATCCTATTAACTCTCCTGGATCTCTCTGCAGCTTTCGATACCATCGATCATGTTATCCTTCTGGGAAGGCTTGAGGGAATGGGGCTAGGACACACTGTGCTACAGTGGATATGGCAAATTATCACCTCATCCTGAAAAAATTATAATATTACCACCTCATCTGTTTTATAGGAAATCTGCAACAAAACAGGAGCTTTTTTGTTGAGTTCCAGGGTCAGAGAAGCAGATGGCAAAAGCAGAACGGCCTGCCTCAGGGGAGCGTGCTTGCTCCATCAATGTTTAACATTTACACAAATGCTCAGCCACTAACTACCAGAAGGGAGAAAGAGTTTCATCTATGCTCGTGCTATCACGAGCTTTGAAATGGTTGAACAGAAGCTCTCTGAAGCTTTAGGTACTCTTTTTGCCTATTACAGGGAAAACCAACAGATTCCTAATCCACCTAAATGCAGATGTGTGCTTTCCACCTTAAGAACAGGCAAACATCACGAGCTCCAAGATTACCTGGGAAGGAATCCCACTGGAACATTGCAGTACACCCAAATATCTGGAAGTCACTCTGGACCGGGCTCTGACTTACAAGAAGCACTTCTTGACTATCAAGCAAATAGTGGGTGCTAAAAATAATATCATACAAAAGCTGACTGGCACAACCTGGGGATCACAACCAGACACAATGAAGGCATCTGCCCTTGCGCTTTGCTGTTGAATATGCATGCCCAGTGTGGAATATATCTCACCACGCAAAAACAGTGGACGTGGCTCTTAATGAGACATACCGCATTATCACAGGATGTCTATGCCAAAAACTGCTGGAGAAATTATACTGTTTAGTCGGTATTGCACCCACCTGACATCAGTCAAGAAGTAGCAGCCTGTAATGAAAGGCATTGATATCTCCAGCCCATTCTCTGTACGGATATTAAATCAAGAAACAGCTTTCTAAGATCTACAGAGATACTCACAGGAACACCTCAGCAAGCAAGAGTCCAAAACTGGCAGGCTAACACCCAGAACCTCAATCAGTGACTGAGACCAGATGGGAAACTCCCCCCAGGTGACTTGGATGGTACTGAACAGCTGTGCTGTGGCACCATGAAATGCAGAACTAACCTTAAGAAATGGGGCTACAAAGTGGAGTCCACAACATGCGAGTGTGGAGAAAACCACAGACCACTTACTACAATGCAGTCTGAGCCCTGCCACATGCACAACTAAAGACCTTCTTACAGCAACACCAGAGGCACTTGAAGTGGCCAAGCTTCTGGTCAAAGGAAATTTAGTATAATGCCAAGTTTTCAACTTTGTTTGTGGCTTTTTATACTTTATAACTGCATTTTCACTTTGCTTCTGAGACAACAAATAAATAAATCAATATATTATCTTCTTTCTACCAATAGGATGCTTTATTGTGACTCAGTTTGGGATTTTCTATTTTACATTTTAAACGTAGTATGTGTTCCAATTTGATTGAACAAGAGGCCTATGTAATCAACCATCTCCTTTCTACAATGGCCAACCAGAAGCCATTAAGCAATATTTAAGTTGATAAACCCCATTGGAAGTTAAGCAGATTAGTAGTCTCTGGCTTGTCATTTCCAAAAACAGCTATTCAGAACAAAATTGAACGAATTGCCCAAGAAATACGACAGTGACAGACACATAAATTAATTCATTTATTTGCCACACAAACTGCGAAATTGGTAAGATAAACATTTTTTCTCCTTAGCCGCAGTATTGCCACTATGTACAAAATGTATGATAAAATCACTACACGTATAAAAATACAGTATGCGTTACATATACATACATACAGTACAATGTGCAAAACATGGCAAAGTTAGCATATGGAATTGATTTGTAGGACTGCAAGTATCAAATCCAAAGGCAACCGTGGCTTCCTTTCCAAAGACATGGAACTTGTTCGGGAGGCTCTGTTTTGCCAGAATAGATACCCTTCCTTAAACTAGCATTGAAACAAAGGGGTCTGTCTGTACACATTGGTATTGGTTTTGTTTTCCAAGTGAGGTGCTAAGACATCATTGTGATGATGAAAAGAAATGTTGATCAAAGCATAATTGTTAACGCAAGCTAGAGAAAGGAAACGATCGCTTTTACATTTGTTGAGCATGGGTTTTTATGTTCAGTTTCAGAGCCAACAAAATATGGCTGGACATGAAATCTCTAAAGCAACTTACAAGACACCTGAATTTTCAGTCTGGAAAAAAATTCCTATGCTGGGGATATTTCCTGTAAAGGAGTGTATTTTCATAGTAGTAGAAGTAGTAACGTCTATGTTATTTTTGCACCCTATATGTGCCTTCAAGTCGGTTGATTTATGTGAGTGCCATGGATGTCATCTTTTCTCACTCATTTAAATGTTCTGGGATCTTAAAATCGTACTGGGTTAAAATGGTGGGGTTCCTGGCTGAGTTTTAGAAGAAGGAAGGAAGGTCCTGAGTCGTCCTTCTTCAGAATTGTCATGTTTCTGCCCAATTTGTATGTTTGCATTATCATATTCTTTGCATGTTTACTATTTCTATGATTGATCCTATTATTATAATAATTATTAATAATTATTATACTTTTTCTCTTTAAAAAGGAGACTCAAAATGTCTATTTTTCTATTTTAATTATACTTTAAAAGAAGCCGTGGTGGCACAATGGGTTAAACCCTTGTGCTACTCAACTGCTGACCTGAAGGTGGGCCGTTCAAATCCACAAGATGGGGTGAGCTCCCGTCTGTCAGCTCCAGCTCTTGCCAATGTAGCAGTTTGAAAACATGCCAATGTGAGTATATAAATGGGGACTGCTTCGGTAGGAAAAGGCAAAGAGACGCTCCAAGCAATCTTGCCGGCCACACAACCAGGAGATGACAACGCAGGCTCCTTGGCTTGAAAATGGAGAAAGCACCACCCCAGAGCCAGATATGAGCACCGCCTCCAGAAGCTGGAGATGAGAGGAGAAGCCTCTGCCTTTGTTTGTGTTTGTGTGTAATTGCATATTCATTTATTTTTATTACCATATTTGTATCCTGCCTTTCTCAACCCCGAAGGGGACTCAAGGCAGCCTTACAAAGGTAACAATTCAATGCTGCATGTATACAGACATTAATGGATAAACAAAATATTAAAATCATCCAATTAAAACATAACATTAAAACAACAATTAAAATTACATATATGACTGTAAAGGCATTGAATGTCTGCCTGTGTATGTAAAATGCTGTAATCTGCTCTGAGTCTCCAGGGGAGAAGGGAGGAATATAAAGTGTATTACAGTAGAGTCTCGCTTATCCAACATAAATGGGCCGGCAGAACATTTGATAAGCAAAAATGTTGGATAATAAGGAGGGATTAAGTAAAAGCCTATTAAATATCAAATATCAAATTACATTATGACTTTACAAATTAAGCACCAAAATATCATATTTTACAACAAATCGACAGAAAAAGCAGTTCAATAATTATTGTATTTACAAATTTAGCACCAAAACATTGCAATGCATTGAAACAGCTGTGGATCTGGGCAGGAGGCAGACTGCGTTGGATAATACAGAATGTTGGATGAGTGAAAGTTGAATAAGCAAGACTCTGCTATATTATTGTATTATTATTATGTTAATAGTATGTTTTAAATTCACATACTGATAAGGTTTTTAATGTTAGCCACTCTGAGTTACCTTTGGCAGAAAAAAGTAGTATATAAATACTGCTACTACTATGATTATGATTATGTGTTTTCAGCTATGTTGTAACCCGTCTCAAGACGAGGAGAGGCAGATAAGAAAAAAAATTGTTACTACTACTTTTATTATTATTACTACTACTAACAACAATGCATTTTGGTGACTCAAATGTTAGCCCTGTTTCTGGGTATATTCAGCCTGCTGATCCCAAAGGTTTTTCCCTATTGGCTCTAGTTTAGAGATACAGAATGTAATGCCATCTACCAGTCACCTTCCCATAGCAACCATATCTAGGAAACTAGAGCTGATACACTCTCTCCAATGCAATTTTCTGAATCAGTGCCCTAAATAACCCCAGGAACAGGCCCAAACAGCAAGACACCAAATTTATTTCTTTTGTTGGGCTGTGTAACAATCATCATCCCTATTCAGCTTCAGCCACATAGAACAGAATGGCTAGCACTGAAATGCAGTTGAATTAGATCTATGATGAATTAGCTGTAAAAAGTGTTCCAGTCATAAACCTTAATCAGAGATGCATTATTATTTGAGCAGATGCCATAATTTGTATCACACAACCCTCCAGATGTTGGAGTGCAAGCCCCATCTGCTCCAGCCAGCATAGCCAATGGTGCAGCATGCTAGGAGCTGGAGTCCTTAATGCTTTCTGTTCTTGCAACTCAGCATCGGGAGAAAGCAATGGCAAACTTCTTCCAAACAGACCTTACCAAGGAAACCCAGTGAGAGGTTTATCTTAGATTAGAAATGAATTGAAGGTGCTCCAAATTTCCCATCTGAGCAAAACCTTCATTGCTAATACTATTCAATGTTTGTCTAAAACCATTTTCAATCTTGTTTGCAATTCAGGTAGAAACCAAGTGAAGTTATTTTGCACCCAGTATAAACTGGATTCAAATAGGCTTTGAAAGAAGGTTTTAAAGATGAAGTCAAAGGCTGCTGTGGTTTTTAGTTTTGAATCTGCTTTTATGTTTTTAAAGTGAATTGTTTTAAATACTAATGATATTTAATTCTATTTTAATCTTTGTATATTTGTATATTTTAAAATTGTATTGAAATATTTTAATGTAAGCTACTTTGAGTCTCCTTTGTGGAGAGAAAAAGTGAGATGTAAATAAAGTAATAATGATAATAATAATGATGATGATACTAAATTGGACTTAAGCCATGATCCCTCTGTCAACAATCTTACAAAAAACAAACCTCGGCTATCAAACGTCTCAGAGATCTCACAAAATTTCACATTTGCTGTACATGGATGACCTGAAGCTGTATGGGAAAACCGAAATGGAAATCCAGTCTCTGACTAACACTGTCCAAATCTTTAGCACGGATATCAACATGGAGTTTGGTTTGGACAAATGTTCGACAGCGGCACCGAAGAAGGGAAAAATAATTGAAAGTGAGGGCATTAATATGCCCAATGGCCAAGTGATAAAGTGTCACCAGTCAGAGACCTATAAATATCTGGGCATACTATAGCTGGACAACATCAAACATGAACATGTGAAAACTGTGGTCAGCAAAGAATACATTCAAAGGTCAGACAAATTCTCAAAAGCAAGCTCAATGGAGGCAATACCATCAAGGCCCTAAACACCTGGGCCATACCTGTCATAAGATATACTGCTGGCATCGTAAACTGTACACAGGCAGAACTGGAGAATTTGGACAGAAAAACAAGAAAACTCATGACCATTCATAATTCATTACATCCTCGCAGTGATGTTGACCGGCTCTATCTGCCTAGAAAGTCTGGTGGCAGAGGACTTTTACAAGTAAAATAAGCAGTCGAAGAAGAAAAACCTGCCCTGGCAGAATATGTAAAGGAAAGCCAAGAACCTGCTTTAATTGAAGTCAATAATCGGAAACTTCTCAAAGCACAGCAAAGAACCAGTACAAGAAAACTGCACTCCAAACCAGAGCTGACAGCTGGCACAACAAAGCATTGCATGGGCAGTTACTTGAGAAGATTGAAGGAAAAGTTGACAAGGAGAAGACCTGGTTATGGCTCATGAATGGAGCCCTGAAGAAGGAGACAGAAGGCCTGATTCTTGCAGCCCAGGAGCAAACCATCAGAACCAACGCAACTAAGGCCAGGATTGAAAAATCAACGGATGACCCAAAATGCAGATTGTGTAAGGAAGCTGATGAAACCATGGACCATATTCTCAGTTGTTGCCAGAAAAATCACACAGACGGACTACAGAGGCACAACTCTGTGGCCCAGATGATTCACTGGAACTTATGCCACAAGTACCACCTACCAGCAGTAAATAATTGGTGGGATCATAAACCCACAAAGGTTGTGGAAAATGAACATGCAAAAATACTGTGGGACTTTCGAATCAAGACTGACAAAGTTTTGGAACACAATACACCAGACATCACGATTGTGGAAAAGAAAAAAGTCTGGATTATTGATGTCACCACACCGGGTGACAGTCGCATTGAGGAAAAACAGGAAAAATTCAGCCGCTATTAAGACCTCAAAATCAAACTGCAAAGGCTCTGGCATAAACCAGTACAGGTGGTCCCAATGGTCATTGACGCACTGGGTGCTGTGCCAAAAAATCTCAGTCGGCATTTGGAAACAATAAACATTGACAAAATCATGATCTGTCAACTGCAAAAGGCCACCTTACTATGCTGTGACATACTGTGCTTTTGTGTCAATAATAATAATAATAATAATAATAATAATAATAATAATAAATTGGACTTAAGTCCTAGACTTAACTGAGTCATCATGACGACTGTATGGATGCTATCTGTAAAAGATGCCCTCATTATCTTCTCAATGTATTTTTTCTTTCAATACTTCAACTATCTAACCCGCCTTGAATCATGAGGAGAGGCAGGTAAGAAATAAAAGTATTATTATTATTATTATTATTATTATTATTATTACTACTACTATTGGCACTTGGAAACATTTCAGGCATTTCCATTAATGCAAATTCATCAAGAAGCACGAGCAGCAGTTTCTTTTCTGGAGTTTCTTTGAATTTCGGGGTATCCTCCAAAGCACCAATCGTATGTGGCACAACTTTATTGGCATACTTCACCATTAAGCAATAATTACTGTATAATCAATACAATGTGGGATTCTAACTAGGTATACACGGAGGTCCATCAAATCAGACCAAGAAAACAGATAACTCTTCGGCTATTGATGTACTACTGAAAATATCAAATATGCCTTTGAGAAATCTATTTCGAAAGCAGATGCTTCCCTAATATGTGTAACTGCAGGAGCTGGGTATGTTTAGCCTGCAGAAGAGAAGGCTGAGAGGAGGCGTGATGAGGACCATGTATAAAGATGTGAGGGGAAGTCATAGGAAAAAGGGAGCAAGCTTGTTTTCTGCTGCCCTGGAGGCTAGGACACGGAACAATGACTTCAAGCTACAGGAAAGGAGATGCCATTAGGAAGAACTTCCTCACTGTGAGAGCTGTTCAGTGGTGGAACTCTCTGTCCTAGACTGTGGTGGAGGCTTCTTCTTTGGAGGCTTTGAAACAGAGGCTGGATGGCCACCTGTCAGGGGTGCTTTGAATGCGATTTTCCTGCTTCTTGGCAAGGGGATGGACTAGATGGCCTATGAATTCTCTTCCAACTCTATGATTCTATGAAATGGCCTAGTATTGAGCATGACTATGTGATATGTAAGTAAACTGCATCATAAAATAAGCTTGATTCCCAAGGTTGGATGGGTGCAAACTAACATAATAGACTCGGGAACTGGAAGGAAGAAAGCAGATCTGGATATATTAGAGATTTTGGGGTGATTTTCAGTAGATCCAACAGGGCTTCTGACTCCTCGTAACAACAGAAATAACAAAAACAAAAACCCACCACAAATTCTAAGAAAGCTTGGCTAAGCAGAATTATATATCGAATTGAGAGAATATGTGCGATTTATACAAACTTTTTAGTTCTATTTTTTTAAAAAATCTTGAATTCAACATTCATGTCTTTTTTTTACAAAGATTTCAAGGTTCTAGTGAAAAGCAAAGCAGATTCTGCAAAGCTGAAACCTGCCTCCTTCTGACAGATTTAACTGCAAGAATTTCATTGTAGATATGATCTGGGCTTGTTCCCATGTCACCTTTTGTTACCTTTCTGCTGCTTAACAGGAGTCAATTGATTTTTCCCCCAGCAGCTTCCTAGGTAAAGATAAAGGTTTCCCCTTGACATTACGTCTAATCATGTTCAACTCTGGGAGGTGCTGTGCATCTCCATTTCTAAGCTGAAGAGCCGGCATTGTCTGTAGACACCTCCAAGGTCATGTGACTGGCATGACTACATAGAGCGTTGTTAGCTTCCCACCAGAGTGGTACTTATGGATCCATTCACATTCGCATGTTATCAATCTGCTAGGTTGGCAGAAGCTCACCCTGCTCCCTGGATTCAACTTGCCAATCTTTCAGTCAGCAAGTTCAGCAATTTAGCGGTTTAACCCAGTGGTTTAAGATGTTCCTAAATAGCTTTCAGTAGGTAGAACCTGTTATTATGAGGAACATCATTAAATTCTCATGAACATTTATGTTAATTAAAAAAAATATGTGAATGGAATGGTTCTGTTAGAAGGAGGCTTACTTCATATTGATGAAAAAAGTATAACTTTGTATATTGGGAAAGTCTATACTACGATCCATTTTTTTTAAAAAAAGATTTATAATGTCTTGCATTACAAAAATTATTAAGTGCACAAAACTACTCGAGCAATCTATGAGATATGTTTGCAATTATATATATATATATATATATATATATATATGAGAAATTGCAAACATATGGTGAATATTACCATCAAATGCAAAACATGTTTTTTATTGTTTTAAAAATGTAATAAAGCTCTATTCTGAAATGTACAGAAAAATGCCAAACTCATGCCCACTCTTTAAAATAAATACATTTCATTACAAACATTTCATAATCCCTTAAACATTTTTATGGAGGAAAGTTCCACAAAACTTATCACGTTCCTGAATGGATTGTTTCCTGGGCATTGCTTTCTTTTGCACATTCTCCTGCCGTCTGAAAAGCCCACGGAGCATGAGCATGCAAGGAAGCAATGGACAATATTGCCAAAAGTAGACATATTTACAGATACTCTGCCAAGTGGGCAAGAGTTGGATGGCAAGTCTGCAGTCGGAAGATGATTTTAAAAAGCTAGAGATTGACTTACCTACAGGGAAACATGGCAAAATAAGCCACTGGCTTACATTGCTTAACAAAGTGCTTCTCAAAATGTACATCATAACCATCAAGTAAGTTCGAGCTTGTTTTGGGGCTGTAGACATAACAGGGGTGTTTTCTTCCATCCTATTTTCAGGGATCTGTTTTTACTGGGCTGACAAGTCGCCTATACTGGCTTAGTGGCTTGCTCAAACTCTATTGAGATATATCAGCCTAGATACCTATGAATTAGGTTCTTGTGGGTTTTTTCGGGCTATAGAGCCATGTTCTAGAGGCATGGCTCTATAGCCCGAAAAAACCCACAAGAACCTAGTGATTCCAGCCATGAAAGCCTTCGACAATACCTATGAATTAAAAGTATCTATAAAAGTCAAAGTATGCCTGTCTATCTCTCTGTGCCACAAAGATGAAGTGGCCCTTTGTGATATCACTGGACTGGCTGTTGAAGGCTTTCATGGCCAGAATCACTGGGTTGCTGTGAGTTTTCTGGGCTGTATGGCCATGTTCCAGAAGGATTCTCTCCTAACGTTTCGCCCACATCTATGGCAGGCATCCTCAGAGGTTGTGAGGTTTGTTGGAAACTAAGCAGGTGAGGTTTATATATCTGTGGAATGTCCAGGGTGGGAGAACAAACTCTTGTCTGCTTGAGGCAAGTGTAAATGTTGCAATTGGCCACCTTGTTTAGCAGTGAATGGCTTTGCAGCTGAGGTGAAAGGAAAGAGAAAGACAGACTGAGAGCAAGGGGGCCGTGGTCCCTGCCAGGTATATATGCTGGTGAAATATAAATGCATCTTCTTCTTTGGATTTCCTGAACCCTGTTTCCTGTCCATTTGTTGTAATGAGTTCTAAACACAGACAGTAAGTTAATCTCATGTCTATTGTTTTTGGACTGGATATATAAACACACTAACCAGAAAAAGGCCATCAAAACATTACACATATATAAATTCAAACCAGATATTGTGGGAGAAGATGATACTAAAAATCACTGGGAGACATAAAGCACCTCAAACAGCCCCCATTAAAGGATGGCCATGGAATGGTTAAAGCTGTGTTTTCAATACATCCAATATGTATTAAGCTTACGTTTAAGCCATAAATGAAGGCAACAAAAATTAAAATGTGGCTTTTATACATTGTTGAATCCAATTACTGAATGTACAACCCACAAACTTCTTTATTTTTGGTGTAAAACTGCTCTGACATCTGGAAGGTGGTTTTTTGTTTGTTTTACAATTTCAAACCTAACCTATATTGGGATCTTCACAGTTGTGACTTCAAGAGAAAATAAATGGAACATATGCATTGGAAATGTGAAATTGGCTCAAAACACTACACTGGACAACACTAAATAAGTACAAAGCAATGCAATCTTTTTCACGATACTGCTTACGGTTAGAAATGGGAAGGATTTTCTGACAGAAGTGCCTGCTGAACTATATTTTGTTTGTCATAATGTTTGGAAATAACATTATAATGTTTGCAAATAAAATAGGAAGCAGGGAATCTATTTTGTTTCAGCTGTTCAGACTATGAGAGATTCTAGTACATGCAGCTAGATATACTGATATATCCTGTTTCTTCAGGTTCAAATGACCAGCGGTTGCTCAGTGGAGAAGCACATAATTCACATGCAGAAAACTCCCAGGTAAAGGAGAAAATGATTGGAAGTATCTCTGAAAAAAGATTGGTAGGTGCAGGATTCAATATAGATATAAATATACCCATTAGCTAATAAAAGCATGAACCTCTAAAACAGACAAATACCACAGGCAGCAAAAAGCGCCCTTTTAGTAGAGGCAATCCATCTTGTTAGATCAGGAAAATGTATATGCTTCTTATATACATCTTTATTTACCCACTTAACATATTCCAAAAGTAATTAATTGATTTTAGACATTACCTGTCTTGAAGGTGAAGTTGTGACCTTTCACCTGGGTTCATTTTCCATTCAATTATAAAAGTGCTATTCAGAGACTGCAGGATGAAATCCAAGTTTAAGAGGAAATGGCAAGGAGCACGGCTCAACACAAGCAGTGCTACCATTAGAAACAAATAATCCATTAGCTGTAATAAAATAGCAGCCTTTGTAAATTGCCTTTGGATCAGAACGGATAATGAAGTTTTTTTTTTTAAAAAAAGTCAAGAATAAGTCATGAACAATTTGAAATAAAAGGCCAAATTTCAAGCATTTGAAAAAATCTGTTCTCTTTGGGTCAGCTAGCTCAGAGTAGTCCTACTGTTCAGATAGCTCAGCCTGAACCATAGGATTATTATGCCCAAATAGATAATACTCTGCTTTTTTTTTTTTTACAATGAATAATTATTTCCCCTGCCCTCCAGCTTCGACCATTTTAAAACATCCCACTGGTTTTCTTCAGTTTCTTCTGGAATGTTTTAGTGCCATAATATTATGTTGTTGTCCAGATAGATTTACGCTGTTATTTACAATGCATGATGCCCCCCCCCCCCCAACTCCTCAGCTTCCTTTCACCATGTGCAGCTATATGTTTTCGGAAGACTGCAAAGCCCTCTTCTTATAATTTTATCTTAGCGGAACATCACTCTTTGTTTTTGCTACTTACGCTTTTCATTTTTCTTTTTACAAACAATCTTTGTTGAACCTGAAAGACAATGGACCAGCATTGTGACACATATCTTGAAAACCCACGATTGAGCAATTGAGCTTTGCCTCTTGGGTTAATCCCAGTGCAACTGCAGATCCTGTGAATCGAAAAAATCTGTGGAAAACACACTTGGAGACGTCGAGTCGAGAGGCGTTAACCCTAATGAAGCGTTTGGCATCGTAATGTCTAACCACTCCATGCTGTCTAAATTGGTATCTGGAAGGTCGAGGGACAAGCAGGGATTATTTGAAGCATTGAACGGCAAGTCAGATATTTCCATAGGTGACTGGGAGTGATTGAGTAAGTCAGAATGATTCAGGAGTTCATCCTGAAGGTCCTCAATGAGGGAGAAAGCGTCTCCATCCTTGGAATTGCTTGTGAGTTGAGGCATTCCGTTCCCGGAGGGCAGCGTTCCTTCCAGGAGGGCTTCTAGCTGGTTCTCCAAGCATAGAGAGGAATCACTTGCTGGTCCAAAGGAGAGCGGAGGGGCCATTTGTACCCGTGGTGGTGGACGAGAGACCACTGTGTTCACTGGCATTGTGCTGATATTGGCAGTAACTGGGGTCATTTTGGAAATCAGAGCAGACTCTTCCTTAGTAGGCATGAAAATTTCTGTTTGAAAAATAAATCAGGATCAGGTTCTTTTTGATGCATCCATAGCAAAATTAATAAAGGATCCCTTTCCAACATTGACTTGTTGCTAGTTTTGACATTTTGGACCTGCTGAATTCTAAAAGGATACTGCAAATTACAGATTGCCAAGGCAAAAAGCAAATCAGACTCATATATTACATACGTCCTATGCTAAACAAAGGTATCCCTGTTGGGATCAGGAAATGTGTGAAGGGAATTTCACAAAGTTAGAAAGGGTTAAAAAGAAAATGTAAATAGAGAGAGATGGGAGGGAGAAGGAAGAATGTGTCGAAATTGTTTGGGAACAAAGGAGATATTTACAGAAAAAAGAAAAAAGGGTGTTTATAAAAGAAAAAAGACACAAAGGTGTTGAAGCTCTGAGAAGGAAAATTATAAACAGGGGAAGAAGAAAGCTTTGATTTCTTGGCTTGTATGAAGGTGCGTGTTTGAGTCAACTGAGACTATAAAATCCATGATCCAGAGACAGTCCAATGTGGAACTTTTCTTGATGCTTATCTGGGCTTGCCTTGATTGTAACCATCCCTTACTTAGTATTTTGCTGAAGAATTAAACTATGGTATTTTAATCTCCTCAATCTCTACTCTTTAACTGGGAAGTAACAAGATCTAGACATAGGTAAGGGGGCACCGTACATGAACATCATAGCTATTAATAGGTTTTCATCACTTTTAAGCATTTAAACTGTTTCTCTTTTAATATTGCTAATATTTAACTCTATTTTAACATTCATACATTTTTAGGTTTAAAATGGTATTGTATTGGTTTTAGCATAAGCCACTTTCAGTCTCTTCTTAGATTAATAATAATAATAATAATAACAACAACAACATAAAATGGCCTCCCTTCAATAGAAAGTCTACCATATGTGACTTCAGTTGTATCAACTGTTTTCAAATTGGCAAAGGCAGGCTTTACAAAATTTTCAATTGCATGAGTTTAGTGACTTGAAGACACAGGATCTCAGTTCAAAACCATGGGTTTAAAATTAATTAATGGAACCAATTGCAATTTTTTTTAAATTTCCTAGTTAACTATCAGGTGCACCAGATGGTTCAGAGATAGGTGCAGTTAAAGATTATTCATACAGTCAAGTAAATATTACATTAACAACGAGTTTTCTTCTATGCTAAATAATAAAGCTCTATTCAACCAACACAACTTCTGCTGTGCTCTCACCATTTAGGATGACCGCAGGTAGCCCCAGTCATAATCCAGTTCAGGATTGGACAACCTAATAATGTCCAGATGTTCTGGACCACAAGAACTATAACCTCAGCATGGTTGGGAGGGTCAAGGGAATTAACATTCAAACATCTGGAGTCCACCAGATGTTCTGGGCCTGAGCTTTCCAAACATTTCATGTTGGTGACACACTTTTTAAATATATGCATCATTTCACAACACAGTAATTTAGTTTTACTAGCAAAACAGAGGTTAAACCAACCCGTTATAAGAAATATAGATACATACATAAAGCGCAATAATGAAATGTATAAGGACACAAGGTATTACATTTCATTTATATTTTAAAAATATATATGATTCATGGCTTATTTCATATAGACTCAGAGGTTTTTTCTTTACATTTGTGTGACAAAACTACACATTGCAACCAACTCACTAATGTACCAGGACACAACAGTTTGTAAAGCTCTCTAAACTAAAAAGAATTAAGATCTGGAACGTGTATCATATGCTTCATTGCAATCTGACTTACCTCCACTCTTGATGAGGATATCAAAGAGATCATCCATTTGCTGGCTGTGTGCACTAGAAATCTGTAATACAGAGGATTTTTTTGGTTTATAGATTTTACATTTTTCACATAAATTCTTCTCTAATATATAAAGATCTTTTGTCTTCTGCACTGCAACATGATCACAACTGAGACTGTATTCTCGTGCCTATAGTATACATTAAGGTTCTATTTTAAAATATGTATGTACTGAGTTCCTTTTTTCCCCCCCAAAAATCCTACGGATCAATGTGCATTCAAGGTTTGACTGCATACTAAGTGAAAAACAAGACTCTGCTCCTATGTGTAACTCATAAATAAAAGCATGCTTATTTGACGAGCAGCTAAAGCTTATCAATTGTTGCACCTCGCCGTATATCCTACCTCAGGCTGAGAAACCTGAAAGCTGCGTGTTTGTTTGACGGCTTCTTCGTAGCGCGGAGGGTCTTTTGTCAGCGTCACTGGACTGCTGAACAAAGGCTGTGGCAAAACGTAATGTTGGGGTTGAGATGGGGAGGGCGGCTGCAGGAAACACAAAATCAAATGTGTTGCAAAAGAGCCTGAAACTAATTCTCCAGAGTTGCAACCACCATTTCCCCCATTTAGAACATTTTGTCTGACAGTTATTATATGGATGAGCATGCTTTGCGTATCTAGGCTCATTTTTTGCAACTCATTCCAATAAACATCAAAACCCATAATACTGATAAACAGTTACAACAAAACACAACACATTGCCTTCCAGGAAAGAAAAAAAGCACTTAAATTTTCTCAACACCTCCCTGGATCTCCTATTTTGATCTACTTTCAAATTGGATCATAACGTCTGGTAAAACCGCCCTGAGAGGTTTCCTCCCCTACCATGCAGTAATACAATAAGCATGTTTATTTAATGCTAATGCTGAATCTGGTTTTAATGTATTTATTAGTTTGTCCTATATGTGAAAGACCATGGGTCTTTCACATACAGGACAAACAAACAAATACATTAAAACCAGATTATTAAATACAATGCAGAATACACCATTAAAATGCATAAACATAAACAATTAAAATGCTGCATAAACCAATAGTGAAGTGCACTCTTCAATACTACATGAAAGATTACATGGACTAGCTCTTGCATAATGAAAAACCAAGTAAAAAGCAGTATTATTAAAGGGTTGTTGTAGGTTTTCCGGGCTATATGGCCATGTTCTAGAGGCATTTTCTCCTGACATTTCGCCTGCATCTATGGCAAGCATCCTCAGAGGTAGTGAGGTCACCTCACTACCTCTGAGGATGCTTACCATAGATGCAGATGAAACGTCAGGAGAAAATGCCTCTAGAACATGGCCATATAGCCCGGAAAACCTACAACAACCCAGTGATTCCGGCCATGAAAGCCTTCGACAATAGTATTATTAAAACTTAAGCAAGAAATTCTTTGGATATAGACAACCACACTAAATAATTATTCTAATAAAAGCCTCCCCAGAACAGTCGACAGCAATATCAGTAATTAATCTTGCCCGGATTTTCTGTGTAAAAAGAGACACCTTGTAATTAACCCACAGCAATATGATTTTAGGGTTTTTGATTTCACTGTGTTCAGGTTTCTTAAAATCAGAATTCTTCTGTGCAAAAGAGACAGGTACTGCCTTCTCATAAGTTGTCCTACAAGATTCTGTGCAAACAGTGGTGCAATACACTAAACCAGTCCAATGTAGAAGCTTCTCAACAACACTCTACATACCTTCTGGGGCGCACTGGGCCCATTGTGAATCAAAGGGACCTGGTTTCCTGAGGGAAATGTGGTATTTGATGCCTGATTAAACAAGGATTGCTGTAGTGTTGTAACAGAATGATTCTGACAAGGAAATGCTGCATTCGATGAGGTAGGAATTACCTGAAAAAACATGTTTTTTTAAAATACTCCTTTTGTCTGAACATGGTTTATAACAGCAATGACACGTTTTGGACAAATTCCTCCTAATATAGCCAGCAATTATTAGGACAAATCTGAGAATCAAAAAGGTCCCATTTTCCACCATCACTGAGGTGTTTCCAGAATCCAAGTTCTCTTTAACAAGACAGTTTTAATTAACTTTTGGAAAAATATTAAAGAGATGGGAGAATCAGTAGTCTCCCTGTCCAAGAAATGCCAAGGCAACAGCATTTTTGGAATTAGGAAATGTGCAGGAGAATACTTGTAGATGATTTGTTTATGATCACTGTCTCAAGAGTCTACCCTAATCTGTATACAGTAGTCATATAATTATTTTAAGGAAAGATAGTGCTGCAAACATAGCAAAGTCAAGAGGAAAACAGAATTCTCAAAGTACTTGCATTTATTAATTGCACTATGGAATGCGTATTGAAAAAGTTCAGATATCGTTATCATTTCTAAAGACTGAGAAAGGTAGGAACTAGAAAGCCATTACTTGCTCTACCATTGGTGTGATGAAATTAATCACATCCAACCAAACTTTCTTAGCCCCAATGCATAATATGTACCTAATAAATTACCACCCCTCAAACAAAATGGAGTCGTATTAGAATATTTATTCATTCATGTTAGGTATATATGTTCAGTGTGGATTCTCTTGAGGTTGCTTACATCTACATCTACTGATTATCTGGATTCGGCACAGTCTGGCTTTAGGCTGGGTCATGGAACTGAAACAACCTTGGCCACCTTAGTGGAAGATCTGTGTAGGAATCTGGACAGAGGGAGTGTGCCCCTGTTGGTTCTCCTGGACCTCTCAGCAGCCTTCGATACCACAGACCACAGTATCCTTCTGAGACAGCTCACGGATATGGGGCTTGGGGGTACGGTTTTACAGTGGCTCCGGTCCTTCCTGGAGGACCATACCCCAAAGGTGTTGCTGGGGGATACCTGCTTGGCTCCACAGCCTTTGTCTTGTGGGGTTCCGCAGGGCTCAATATTGTCCCCCCATGTAGTTTATCATATATATGAAGTCCTCAGAGGAGATCATCCGGAGTTTTGGAGTTGGATGTCATCTGTACGCAGAAGATATTCAACTCTACTACTTTTTTCCACTTACTGCTAAGGAGGCTGTTGAGATCCTGAACTTGTGCTTGCCAGCGGTGATGGTCTGGATTAGGGCAAACAAATTAAAATTGAATCCAGACAAGACAGAGGCACTCCTGGTCAGCTGTAAGGCCAAATAGGGTATAGGTTACAGCCTGTGCTGGATGGGGATACACTCCCCATGAAGACACAGGTTCGCAGCTTGGGAGTTCTTCTGAATTAATCACCGAGCCTAGAACCCAAGATTTTGGCAGTGGCCAGGGAAACTTTTACACAATTAAAGCTTGTGTGCCAGCTGCGCTCGTACCTTAGGAACTCAGACTTGGCCACCTTGGTCCACTCTCTGGTTACATCCCGAATTGACTACTGCAATGCGTTCTACATGGGGTTGTCTCTGAAGACTGTTCAGAAGCCCCATTTGGTCCAATGCATGACAGCCAGACTACTCACTGGAGCGGAATACAGGGAGCACACAACTCTCATGTTACGTCAGCTCCACTGGCTGCCAGTCTGCTTCCAAGCACAATGGACAGCGCTGTCTTTAGCCTATAAAGCCCTAAATGCTTCTAAACTCAGCTTACCTGTCCCAACATAACTCCCTCTATGAACCATCTTGGAGGTTAAGATCATTCAGGGAGCTCTGTTCTTGGTCCATCCCCCTTGCAGGTGTGACTGGTGGGGACGAGATACAAGGCCTTCTGAGTGGTGGCTACTCAACTATGGAACTCCCTCCCCAACTAAATTAGATCATTGCCCTCCCTCCTGGCCTTCAGAAAGAAAGTAAAAACTCGGCCATGGGACCAAACTTTTAGACAGTAAACAATACAATAAATAATCAGAGATGATGTGCAATTGATATTTGATATTTGAAAAGGCCTAGGACCATGACTTCCGGATTATGTGATTTTAACGTTTATATTAATATTATTTTAACTTCATGTTTTAATGTTTAAATGATGTTACATTTTTATGATCTAACTGATAGTTATGTTATTGTTTTATTTTAGGTTTCATATGTATGTGAGGCATTAAATTCTGCCATAAATATGTTGGAAACCGCTTTGAGTACCCGCCCACCCCCTCCCCCCAGGTGAAAAAAGTGAAGTAAATAAATAATAAATGACTACTTCAAGAGAGCAGAAGGATATATTCTAAAATCTATGGGTTCATCAACACTGTGGAATTATTGCAGTTTGACACCACTTTAACAGCCCTGGCTCAATGCTATGGATTCCTGGGAACTGGGGAACTTTCCTCAACTATTACACAGACACTGGGAAATTAGAATAGGAGAGCTGAAAAAGCATTTCTTACCTGTACTGGAATATTGTCCATAGGTAGCTGCACTGAACTGCCATCATTTGGACCCTGGAATGAGACTGGGAGCAGCAGCTGTGCTGATCCTTGTGCAGTTAGTAGAGCTTGAGGCTGGGCAACAACAGCGATTTGGGGTTTTCTCTGAGAACTTATACAGAACTGAGACACAATTTTGTGTGGTTCAGCTTTGGCCAAGGGTACTTCCTGCTTGACAACAGTGGCTTTTTTGGCAACTAGGTTTTGGTCCTCCACTGATGCTGTCTGTGCCGTGAAATGCTTGATTTCAGATATGGATTGTCTTGCATCAGAGCAGTTTGCTAAAGTGCCTTCCTTTTTGACAGCGTGGCTGGTATATTTCTGATTCAAAACCACAGTTGTGTCAGATTGGGGTTGTGGCTGATGTCCCTGCTTTTCCACCTGAAGCTGCATTTTCAGCACTTCCACAAGCTTTTGCTCCTGTTCCAGTTTCCTTTTGAGCTCTTCAATCTGTTTCTCCTTTTCCTGAAGTTTGCGGTCCTTTTCTGCTGGATCGGGTTCTATGATTGCCAAGCTTTCACTGCTGGGACTGTCTTCGTTTGTGGTCAGCTGAATAGGTGAGAAATTTGGCAACTGCGATGAGGACATTATAGTCATAATTTCTGCCAAAGTGTCTCCCATATTAGTGTCATCGGTGCCAAGACTAGACGGCTCTGAAGGAGATGGGGAAACGGCCAAAGGGGAGCTGATGCATTCCATGGGAGTTGAGTTCTTTTCAGTCCCGACAGGAAATGTGGGGATGGAACTAACATCTGTCTTATTTAATGCAGCAACAGGGACTATTGCAGCCACTTCCCCAGAATTAATATTATCATTACTGGAAGAAATTTTCACTGTGTTACTTGCATTGACAGAATTATTGTTCAGATCCTGATAGGACTTCAATCGCTCAATAAGATCCATTTTTGTTCCAGATACTGGCAATCCTCTGAGTTTTAATTCAATTTTCAGCTCAGCAACCTGAGAATTATATTAAAATGTGTCAGTGGGGGAAAAGGCCTCTATTATCCGGACATTTTAAGTACTTTATTTGTTTGTTCCCCTGCCTTTTCTCCAATATGGTTGAATTGTTCAAACACCACGGTGAATCTCCAGAAGCCAAGAAACCATCCCAAGAAACCACCAAACCATAGTTGGATTAATTATTTATTTATCGTGTTAGAAGTGAAATGAGGGTACAGTTATAATGTATACAAAACCACAAACAAAGTTAAAACTTGGCATCATACTATATGTCCTTTGACCAGAAGCTGGCCACTTGGAGTGCCTCTGGTGTCTCTCTAAGGAGGTCCTCCATTGCATCAAAGCCTGCCATAACATGTTGGTGTTAACTCACAATACTTCTGCAGCCATCCCCATGTTTGCCAGTGCTATAAAAGTGTGGTGTCGATAACGTTCCAAGTGTAGTAGGGAATTATGTGGGATCTGCTGGGCACTTTATTGTATGTCCTCACTTATAAATGTATTCTACTCTTAATATTGAATGTAATTGCTGTTTTAATGTTTTACTGTAATATGAATTATGATGTTTTATTGACTGTATGTGATATTATGGTTGGAAACCGGTCTGAGTCCCTCAAGAGAGGTGAGAAGGTCGTTATACAAAACTTTTAAATAAATTAAATAAATTAAATAAATTAAATAAATTAAATAAATAAATAAATAAATGTGGTTGGGCTTAGGCTGCATTATAGCTGAATAGAAAACAGCAAAAAGGTCCCAGCTGACTAGGCTTGTAAACACATCATTAAATAAAATGAGCAGAAATAGGCAAGTGAGATACAGAAGATTTCAGGTCCCCAGAAAGCACTATTCTGTCAGGCCAAGCATTTTAATTTAATGACTGCAGAACTTAGTACTTACCTTTAGGTCATCCAAGTTAGGAGGAAGAGGTCCTAGTTTTCTGTTGGAAACATTATTGTTTTGTCTCGATTTGCTGCTTCCACTTAAAGATGTGCAATTGCTCAATGTATTCAGTTGTACATTCCTAGTGTTACACTGCTTGTCACTCATAGGCCTTCAAGGGAAAAGGATATTAAATTTCAAAATTGATACAAATTTTACTCTAATGTATTTGTCTACTCCTCCAAAATTATTCCTTCAGTTATACAGTATTTTGCAAATTCCGCAGAAGGAGATTACAGTCCAGTCTTCTAGGGGTTTGAACAGAACTTCTGTTTCACCAATGTTTGTATTAATCTAAGAGTACTAGGAGATAGCCTCTGAGTTAAACTAGAAGTGACATTAAATGTGCAAATGCAATGAGTGTGCCCAGGGGTGCCTTTTTTGTTCTGTATTACCAATCACAAGGAAGACTTGAAAGGATTTTGAACAAGCGAAGTGGGCCTTAATTTTTTTTAATCTCTCTACACTTCAAGAGAATTCCCTACTGGTAGCAACAGAGGCTTCCCTTGAAATGCTCACAGCAGTTTTGAAGATCTAATTTTTGTCCAGACTGTGCATGTTGGTTAATGGCCAAAATACCCTCTCCACTTTTGGAACAATCTGCTTGACACAAAGTGAAAATTAACAAACACTTGCAAAGTTCATGTCCACATTTATTTTTAGACACAGACTTTATAAGTATTGATAATTTTTACTTTTGGATGGTGAGATGCAGAATTTGAAGCCTTCTCTAAATATTTATGTAGTTTATAATTGTGTGCTCACTGTGATCCTGCCATGTGATGTGCACGATTTTATAGCGCCATTGTTCTGTGAGTCATGTTAGGACCGAGACACCACACCAGTGGTTCCCAATCTGTAGTCTGTGGACCACCAGTGGTCCATAAGAACAAAAATATGGTCTGGGGCCTCACCGTTATTACACCATTGCCTCGAAACCACGTGGCAACAAAAGTGACTGGTCTTGCAAAACCCTCTTATAGTGCTGAGGCAACGAAGATGTCAGGAGGGGAGAGGCTGACTACCCACAAAAGATTGCTACTACCACATCAGATCTACATGATTAAATATGGTTTTCTGTGGGCGAGCAGATGGTGACTACTGGATGGCATATGTTCTGTATCAGGAACTAGAGCTGAAGTGGTCCATCCAATGCAATTTTCTGAATCAGCACCCCCAATAAACAAACCAAATCTAAAGTTGACCAAAAACTGATTCGTAACCCTTTTGGTACTAATGCTGGAGAGTGGTCCCTGGTCAAAAAAAGGCTGGGAACCACTGCACTATACTGATGCAAGGGTCCCCACATCCGATTCTGTTTAATCATTGCTGGGTTTTACTTCATGTCTCTTAGACAGCATGTTTACATGTGTGTATTAAAATCTATAGTGTGGCAGCGGCTGCTGTACTGGGTTTCTTTTTTCCCCAAATCTGCATATACTGCTGCTCTGGAGACTACGACACAGAGCAATGGATTCAAACTGAAGGAAAAAAAGATTCCACTTAAACATTAGGAAGAACCTCCTGATGGTAAGAACTGTTTGGCAGAGGAATATTCTGCCTTGGGGCTGGATGGCTATCTGTCTGGAGGGCTTTGATCCTGTGTTCCTGCATGGCAGAACAGGGTTGGACTGGATGGCCCTTGAGATCTCTTCCAATCTATGATTCTATTCTATGAAGCATGACAAGCTGTGCCTAACTCAATGTAACTTCTTCTGAAAATGTTTGTGAATCCCTCTCCCAAAATACACTGTAAATCCTGCAGCTGATATTTCTTCCTTCATCCCCCACTCCCTTTCTATTTCTCTTGCAAAAAGAGGCAAGAATTAGCAAAGCTTCACCTACTTGAGTGGTGCAGGAAGTATCGTCTGGTAGTTGTAGTGCTGTTGCTGTTGGCTCAGAATCTGCAGTTGCAAAAAAAGCTGCTGTTGTTGCAACAAGCGAGCATAGTTGGAGTCCATCTGTGGCTCATTCTTCTCACCTTTCTGATCAGGTGGGATGTACTGATGGTATTTTAGCTTCTTCACTCTAGGCTTTGGTTCTTTGCATTTCTTGCTCCGGGGTTTGTCGTTTGGGTTCCTAAAATGGGGTTGCTATGGAAGAACAGAAAAGTAAAACATGAGTGGCATCCAAAACGTTTTTTTCCCCGTGTCAGGAGCAACTTGAGAAACTGCAAGTCGCTTCTGGTGTGAAATAATTGAATTTAAGAACAGATTTACAGAACCAATCTTGTTTGTAACCTGGGGTCTGCCTGTAAATCTGTGCAGAATCAAAAACATTTAGGGGTGTTAACCCTTCCCTATGCTATCAAAAACAAAAAGTTGGAACAGGGACATTTTTCAAGTTGTAACTCCAGCCAAAACAGTGCTTTTTGTTTTTGATAGCATAGGGAAGGGTTAACACCCCTAAAACTCTGGCTTTGCTGTCTGTAACCCTGTTCAGAAGATTTTGCCTTACTTTCTGTTTCTGTGATAATTGGATTTTGAAAATTTTGGCTTGTGGAAAGGATTGGTGATAAAAGCTACAGTAGGGACCCCTTTCTCCATGATAACTCTTCCAGGAGTGGATTTCCCTTCCTAGAGGTAGATTTCCTCTCACTTCCTGTTGTCTCACCCCCGTTCATAATTAGGAACCATATGTAAGTCAGATTTCTGTAACTCGGGGATTGCCTGTGTAAGTTTAGGAATTTTAGTAAAAATCAAGCCAAAAAAACCTTGGTTGACTTATCCATGGGTCAATCCAAGTACTGTACCTTAACTCTTATTTTTTTTTAAAAAGTCACCCCCTTCTCTGAACAGCGTGGCAAAAAGCAAGAGAACCTAAAAGTAGTACCAACTTTGTCTACTCTATTTGCTATTTTTTACTTTGTGTCAAAAGCATTGCATAAATAAGTATAAAACTGATAAAATAAAGGAAGGACAAGAAGTTAAATAATTTTAGACCAAAAAAAGGGCAACAGCGACCACATTGTCTGTGGTTTTAAATGGTTCTTCCTCTATGCATGAGGCAGGGCACTGTGGGCAAGCATACAGATGCGGAGTTGTTGTTCTGCTCCACAGTCACACAAAGTGGAGGATTCTCCTAGGTCGTGCCATTTTGTCAGGTTGTCTTTTGATCTACACACTCCACTTCTGAGTCTGTTCAGGGACTTCTAAGTTGTTATCTCAGCTATGATGCTGCTTCCTTCTTTGTTTCCTTCTTTGCTTCCTTCTTCCTATTTTACTGAATATGCAGATGAGATAATATCCAGAGGCAACTGGCTCTGAAGGCAGTGCTGACAATTTCCCTTCTCTGAAGAATGATTCTCAACTGATCCATGAATCGTATTAAAATCCAAAATTTTGGCCCCCAAACTTGACCTGGACTTATACATAACATTTACTTATACATGAGTATATATGGTACTCTGAGATTTTCTGTTTATTAGTGAAAGCAGCATAATTCAAACAAATATACTCTATGCTTTTGTCCTTTCCTACCTTTATTAGTGTTGGCCCACTGCAATGTTTTGGTGCGGATGTAGTAGTTGTGCTAAGAGGAGCAGAAATTGTAGAGCACGGAGTGTGCTGATCAGTGAAGGAGGGCTTCAAAAATTCAGGCACGGAAGATATTGACGTTGGATACTGACAATAAACAAAAATAATAATAACAAAACAGGGATCTATCATTCATTTTCCGACAGAAAACAACTGGCCTATCAGTTATGATCAAAATGGCAATCTCTTTAAGGAAGAGAGTGAAATATAATGACATACAAGAAGTCATAATTTTCATAAAGACATACCTAGATTCTAATTTATTTTTAACTTGGCACAGATAACAGTTAGCTACAATGTGTGCGAAAGCTTTATGAACAACGAAAAAGAATTAATACTGCTTCAAGAAAAGCTTTGAAATCTGACTGCTCTGCATTCATAAGTAACGAGAATAAAGAAACAGGAAATTGGGAATATTTTTCTGAACCTCAGGGGTTTTTGTGAATACAAAAAAATTAAGGGAGTTAACATATGTCTTCTGAAAAAGACCTGGTTAACATTACAAAATGGCTGCAGCTAAGATTATGATATAGATTCAGACACTATACCTGGTTGGCAAAGGAGACTGAGGTGGCTGGAGATGTTGCTTCTCTTGCTTTAGGTTCACCTGGAGATGCTGCTGAGCTCTGGGATTCTTGGCTGGCAGGTTGATCTGGAGATAATGCATCACTACTGTCCTCATCAAATGAAAAATCATCCAAAGTTTGAGGATAGTCTTCCTGGCCAACAGCTAAGGATAAGAGAGAAAAAGGACCTTTATATCTTAGGGACAGCCTCATTTCTTTTTCCCATCAGTGGTTACCTCGATCCACCCGAGAAAATCTCCTATACATACCGGTCCCTAGGGAGGTACACCTGGAAGCTACAAGGCGTAGAGCTTTTTCGATCTATGCTCCAATTCTGTGGAACTCATTGCCTCCATATATTAGAGTAATGTCGGAGTTGCGACCTTTCGTAAAGGCGTTCAAGACTTGGCTGTCTGGTTGTGCATTTAATTAAAGTGATCAGATCTAATTTGTCAAATAGTCACTGTTGTATGTTTTTACATACAGGAGCTTTTTTGTTGAGTTCCAGGGCCAGAGAAGCAGATGGCGGAAACAGAAGAACGACCTGCCTCAGGGGAGCGTGCTTGCTCCATCCATGTTCAACATCTACACAAATGACCAGCCACTGCCAGAAGGGACAGAGAGTTTCATCTATGCTGATGATCGTGCCATTACTGCTCAAGCAGGGAGCTTTGAAATGGTAGAACAGAAGCTTTCCGAAGCTCTAGGTGCTCTTACTGCCTATTACAGGGAAAACCAGCTGATCCCAACCCATCTAAAACACAGACATGTGCCTTTCATCTCCAGCAAACGATCACCGCCTTGTCGGGGCGCTGGAGCTTGAGCACCTCAATGATGTCATGAGCGAAACCGTGAAGGGACACCCAAGACGGGACGGTTGTGGCAGAGAGGTCAGACCAAGCGTGATCCCTGGGGAATGCAATGGCAAACCACCCCAGTATCCTTGCCAAGAAAACTAAATGGACCAGCACAACCAGAGATATGTCGGTATGCCATTCGAAGATGGGACTCCCAGGTCAGAAGATGGCCAAAATGCTACTGGGGAGGAGCAGAGGATAAGTTCAACTAGCCCCAGATGTGATGATGCAGCTAGCTCAAAGCTGAAAGGAAGGCTAGTGGCCTACTGTGCTGGAGGTGAACAACAAATCCTATATTCTAAAGAACAACACACTATAGGAACCTGGAATGTAAGATATATGAGCCAGGGCAAACTGGATGTTGTTATTAGTGAGATGTCAAGACTAAAGATAGACATTCTGGGTGTCATCAAACTGAAATGGACTGAATGGGCCACTTCACATCAGATGACCACCAGATCTACTACTGCGGACAAGAGGAACACAGAAGAAATGGAGTAGCCTTCATAATTAATAAGAAATTCGCTAAAGCAGTGCTTGGATACAACCCAAAAAATGACAGAATGATCTCAATTCGAGTGCAAGGAAAGCCTTTCAACATTACAGTGATCCAAATATATGCCCCAACCACAGCTGCTGAAGAAGCAGAAGTAGATCAGTTCTATGAGGATCTGCAGGACCTACTGGATAATACACCAAAAAGAGACATTCTTTTCATTACAGGAGACTGGAATGCCAAGGTGGGAAGTCAAATGACAACAGGGATCACAGGCAAGCATGGTCTGGGAGAACAAAATGAAGCGGGACGCAGGCTGATAGAATTTTGCCAGGAAAACTCGCTGTGTATAACGAATACTCTCTTCCAACAACCTAAAAGACGGCTTTATACATGGACTTCACCAGATGGTCAACACCGAAATCAGATTGACTACATCCTTTGCAGCCAAAGGTGGCGGACATCCATCCAGTCGGTGAAAACAAGACCTGGGGCTGACTGTAGCTCAGATCACGAACTTCTTATTGCCCAATTTAGAATAAAACTAAAGAGATCAGGGAAAATACACTGACCAGTTAGATATGATCTCACTAACATTCCTAGCGAATATACAGTGGAAGTGAAGAACAGATTTGAAGGACTAGATTTAGTAAACAGAGTCCCAGAAGAACTATGGCCAGAAGTCCGAGACATTGTTCAGGAGGCGGCAACAAAGTACGTCCCAAAGAAAAAGAAAACCAAGAAGGCAAAATGGTTGTCTGCTGAGACACTGGAAGTAGCCCAAGAAAGGAGGAAAGCAAAAGGAACAGGGATAAGGGGAGATATGCCCAGTTAAATGCGCAATTCCAGAGGTTAGCCAGAAGAGATAAGGAACTATTTTTAAATAAGTAATGCATGGAAGTGGAAGAAGACAACAGAATAGGAAGGACAAGAGACCTCTTCCAGAAAATTAGAAACATTGGAGGTAAATTTCAGGCAAAAATTGGTATGATAAGAAACAAAGATGGCAGGGACCTAACAGAAGCTGAAGAGATCAAGAGAAGGTGGCGAGACTATACAGAAGATCTGTATAGGAAGGATAAGAATATCGAGGATAGTTTTGACGGTGTGGTGAATGAATTAGAACCAGACATCCTGAGGAGTGAGGTTGAATGGGCCTTAAGAAGCATTGCTAACAACAAGGCAGCAGGAGACGACGGGATCCCAGCTGAACTGTTTAAAATCTTGAAAGATGATGCTGTCAAGGTGATGCATGCCATATGCCAGCAAATATGGAAAACACAAGAATGGCCATCAGACTGAAAAAAATCAACTTATATCCCCATACCAAAAAAGGGAAATGCGAAAGACTGCTCAACTTCCGTACAGTGGCCCTTATTTCTCATGCCAGTAAGGTAATGCTCAAGACCCTGCAAGGAAGACTCCAGCAATACATGGAGCGAGAGTTGCCAGATGTTCAAGCTGGGTTTAGAAAAGGCAGAGGAACGAGAGACCAGATTGCCAATATCCGCTGGATAATGGAGAAAGGCAGGGAGTTTCAGAAAAACATCTATTTCTGCTTCATTGACTATTCTAAAGCCTTTGACTGTGTGGATCATAATAAATTGTGGCAAGTTCTTTGTGGGATGGGCATCCCAAGCCACCTTGTCTCTCTCCTGAGGAATCTGTACAAGGACCAAGTAGCAACAGTCAGAACTGACCACGGAACAACAGACTGGTTCAAGATTGGGAAAGGCGTACGGCAAGGCTGCATACTCTCACCCAACCTTTTTAACTTGTATGCAGAACAAATCATGCGATGTGCGGGGCTTGATGAATGCAAAGCTGGGGTGAAAATTGCTGGAAGAAACATTAACAACCTCAGATATGCAGATGACACCACTCTGATGGCCGAAAGCGAGGAGGAGCTGAGGAGCCTTCTAATCAAGGTGAAAGAAGAAAGCGCAAAAGCTGGGTTGCAGCTAAACATCAAAAAACCAAGATTATGGCAACAAGAATGATTGACAACTGGAAATAGAGGGAGAAAATGTGGAGGCCGTGACAGACTTTGTATTTCTAGGTGCAAAGATTACTGCAGATGCAGACTGTGGCCAGGAAATCAGAAGACGCTTCTTTCTTGGGAGGAGAGCAATGTCCAGTCTCGATAAAATAGTAAAGAGTAGAGACATCACACTGGCAACAAAGATCCGCCTAGTCAAAGCCATGGTCTTCCCTAGTCACCTACGGATGTGAGAGCTGGACCTCTAGGGAAGGCTGAGTGAAGGAAGATAGATGCTTTTGAAGCTGTGGTGTGGAGGAAAGTTCTGAGAGTGCCTTGGACTGCGAGAAGATCCAACCAGTCCATATCCAGGAAATAAAGCCCGACTGCTCATTGGAGGGAAGGATATTAGAGAAAAAGTTGAAGTAGTTTGGCCACATCATGAGGAGACAGGAACGCCTAGAGAAGACAATTATGCTGGGGAAAGTGGAAGGCAAAAGGAAGAGGGGCCGACCAAGGGCAAGATGGATGGATGGCATCCTTGAAGTGACTGGACTGACCTTGAAGGAGCTGGGGGTGGTGACGGCCGACAGGGAGCTCTGGCGTGGGCTGGTCCATGAGGTCACGAAGAATCGGAGACGACTGAACGAATGAACAACAACAATGTGCCTTTCATCTCAAGAACAGAGAAGCATCCCGAGCTCTGAAGATCACTTGGGAAGGAATCCCACTGGAGCATTGCAGCGCACCCAAATACCTGGGAGTCACTCTGGACCGTGCTCTTACCTACAAGAAGCACTGCCTGAACATCAAGCAAAAAGTGGGTGCCAGAAACAATATCATACGAAAGCTGACTGGCACAACCTGGGGATCACAACCAGATACAGTGAAGACATCTGCCCTTGTGCTGTGCTACTCTGCTGCTGAGTATGCATGCCCAGTGTGGAACACATCTCACCACACTAAAACAGTGGATGTGGCTCTTAATGAGACATGCCGCATTATCACGGGGTGTCTGCGCCCTACACCACTGGAGAAATTACACTGCTTAGCCGGTATTGCACCACCTGACATCTGCCGGGAAGTGGCAGCCAATAGTGAAAGGACCAAGGCAGAGACATCTCCAGCTCATCCCCTGTTTGGGTATCAGCCAGCACGTCAACGACTTAAATCAAGAAATAGTTTTCTAAGATCTACAGAGACACTCGCCGGAACACCTCAGCAAGCGAGAGTCCAAAAATGGCAGGCTCAAACCCAGGACCTCAATCAATGGCTGATACCAAATGAGAGACTCCCTCCTGGGCACAAAGAAAACTGGGTGACTTGGAAGATGTTGAACAGACTGCGCTCTGGCACCAAGAGATGAGGAGCCAACCTTCAGAAATGGGGCTACAAAGTGGAATCCTCGACATGCGAGTGTGGAGAGGAGCAAACCACTGACCACCTGCTGCAATGCAACCTCAGCCCTGCCACATGCACAATGGAGGACCTTCTTGTAGCAACACCGGAGGCACTCCAAGTGGCCAGATACTGGTCAAAGGACATTTAACCAACTACCAAACTCACAAGTTTTGTATTTTTCTGTTTGTTTGCTTTGTTCTGTTAGAAATGTAATATAATGGACTGGTTGCTCTGACACGACAAATAAAATAAATGTTTTTATGTTGAATGTTTTTATATTGTGTAAATGCTATTTTAAATGCTATTTTAAATTGTAAGTCACTCGGAGCACCTTGGTGGAGAGCGATTAATTAAGAAATAAAGTGAAGTGAAGTGAAAAAGGATAAGAAATGCTTTTGCCATTTCTATCTATAGCTGAGGTGGACAACTGTGCTGGGATCAGAGGATGCATTGATGTTTGTGATGAAGCTACTGCTCCCTTTACATTTTAATATATTTTGCAATAAATTTTATTTTATCAGCATTTATAAAATAATAAAGTGTATTATTTAAAAAAACAGACATCAAATGACATATATTACCTAAAACATGCTGTTTGGAAGTTCCTTTAATGTTTGCATTTACCAACAGACTCATGCCTAAGCCTTTTCTACTTGCCTATAATTGCTTCTTTGACACTGGAGTCTACAGGCAGAATGTTTTTTTCCACAAGTTCCATAGGGCCAGGTCTCTGGGCAATCTTCTCATTCAGATCATCGGCCAAGCGGGCTCTCTTCAGTTTCATCTGAGTGGCTTGTAGAGAGGGTTCTGCAAATGTTTCTGGTTAAAAGAAAAAGGGTTTCAGAAAAGGATCTTTGTACTTCCCATGACACAGTCCGTCTCTGTAGCATGAAGACATCCTGTAGCGTAGGCCTGCACAACATGCAGCAGCAGGCTCCTGCCCTCACCCCACAGGTTCGCACTAGTAAGGGGCCAGAATTAAATAGGGCAGGCGTCTGGCAGCCACAAATATGTTTTTAGAACCCCATTTTCCTAGTAAGGTGTAATTAATGATTAATTGGGATTTTTGCTGTTGTTGTGTGCCTGCAAGTCATTTCAGTCTTAAGGCGACCTTCTCACAGTTTTATTGTCAATATTATTTCAAAAGGGGTTTTCTCATGTCTTCCTCTGAGGCTGGGAGAGTGTGACTTGCCGAAGTCACCCAGTGGGTTCAGAGCTACAGTCTGGAGTTCAAATTACTGCACCACTTTATGAATTCTGAATTCCTTCCCTCTTTTTTCCTCCTTCTCTCTTTCTTTCTTACTTTCTCCCTTCCCTCTGTTTTCTGTCTCTGTACCTTTCCTTCTTTTCTCCCTCCCTCCTACCTTCCTTTTTTTTCCCTTACTCCTTTTCTATCTTCCTTTTTCTTTCTTTTCTCCCTCTCTTCTTCCTGCCCTCCTTTTCTTGGCTTTCTCTCTCTCTCCCTTTGTCTTTTCCTCTTCCTCCCTTTCTGTCTTCCCTTTCTTCATTTTCTCCCTCCCTCCTGCCATCCCTCTCTTTTTCCTCCTCCCTTTCTCTCTATCTCTTCCTCCCTCCTTCCCAATCCCTTTTCTTACCTTTCTTTCTCTCCCTCTTCCTCCTTCCCTTCCTTTCCTCCTACCTCCCCTATTTTTCCTACCTCCTTTTCATTCTTCCTCCCTTACCCTTCCTCCCTCCTTCTTGGGAGTGGGCAGTGGAGACTTCACCAACAGCTTGTGCTCTTTGCCGCATGTTGTACAGGCCTGGTCTACAGTGCTGCCGGTCTTAGCATTAAAGAGAACTTTGATTTCACATGGAAGGAGTGGAAGACTGAAAAAGTCTTTACAATGCAGAGGGTCTTGATAGAGTTGAAGAGTACCTTGAAAGAATCAGCCAGTGTTTTCCCCTCCCAAAGGAGATCCACTGCTCTTCTTTAAAGAGTTTAGTCCCCCTGTTTATACTTAAACATGTTAAGCAGAAAGCAATGGAGGACCTTCTTGCAGCAACACCAGAGGCACTCCAAGTGGCCAGATATTGGTCAAAGGACATTTAACCAACTACCAAACTCACAAGTTTTGTATTTTTCTGTTTGTTTGCTTTGTTCTGTTAGAAATGTAATATAATGGACTGGTTGCTCTGACTCGACAAAAATAAGCAGAAAGCAAGACATTAACATTCCCACCTTCAAGAATGTGCATTCTGACCAACTCTGATCGATCAGGTCTACTCCGTATCTTGTGCTTCAAAAAGTTTTCAGTCTGGAAAAAAGCATGTACATTATGAATTTGTGAAGCAATTTAAAAGGATGTCATTCCCCAGCACTGCACTTGTTCATTTTTCTATAATGATCAAACTAATCTGTATAAACAGCATGCTTATTACAAGAACTGCAAACAAAGTTTGCTCCTTAAACATCATTAAATACTATTGACCTTACATCAGGGGTTCTTCATCATCTTGTTTTACCAGATTTCAAATTTAGAGAGGAAGAAGAAATAAGTAAATTCACACACTCCTATTATAGCATATTGGAATGATTCCATACAAATTTTTATAATAAATCAACAACTAGTATTAGTTACAGAAATTATAATCTATTTCTTCTGCTTCTTCTTTCACAGTTTTTCTAAAGACAAATAATGTGTGAAAAAGAAAGCAGCATGCTTAAATGTGACTGCTTACCCTGGCTCTTTCTAAGCTTTTTATCTGCTCATGGAATGCAGCAGGGCTCTTCAAGGCTACAATGGGGAAGTAAAAGAGTGGCATAAATATGTAGAAATACTTAGCAAAAATAGTAAATAACACAATTAGAAAATATGGGTATTGTTTACTCTTTCAAGTTAGTTTTTACTAGCTAATCTCAAATATACTGTGTCAGTAATAGAGCACTTGTCTGCGATTCTCCCATCATTTGTTCTAATTATGGGCTTTCATAGGCTGCATTAAAAGCAACTCACCAATAAATTGGATTCCAGGTAGTCCAATTAATATCATAAATCTGAGTTCTAAAGGACCATGGTGTAGAATAATCAAGGAACAAGGACAAACTCGCATATATCAGGGGACTAAATTATTATTATTACTATTATTATTAATATTAATATTCCACCCTTCTCACCCCGAAGGGGACTCAGGGCAGATCACAGTACACATACACGGCAAACATTCATTGCCGTTTTCTATAGACAATACACAGAAAGACAGAACAGAAGGAGGTGGTTTGTTTCGACTTAGGTTGGGCTCGAGTCCAGGGGATGCTGTAGCCCCATCCTCTAAGACAAAGAGACGTCAGGACTTACTCCTTCCTTTTGGTCGCCCAGCATTTTTTATATTTTTCTTTATGGTGTTGTAAAACACCTCCCCCGCTTTTAGCGGTACCTAATTTCTCTAATCACAGCTAAAGTTGTTTTTGAATTGCTTAAGTAAACAATGAGATAGGCTGACAGTTGGCAGCTAACATCAACCTGGGGCTTTGAACTTGCAACCTTTTTCGTTGCTAGATCTTATAATTGCTGATGATTTACCAGCTGTGCTAAAACTCCATCTAGACCCTCCTAGATTCAAATACGCATCTAGGAGAGACTAGATGCGTATTTGAATGTAAAATAAATTTATTCAGATATTCGCATTACACAGCAAAGACCAATGCCCTTCTCCTAGGGTTTTGTTGTTGTTGTTGTTGTTGTTAAAGTGCTGTCAAACTGCATCAATTCTACAGTGTAAGTACACCCTTAGTTTCTAGACCTGGTTTGCAGGGTTTACACAAACCATTTAGATGCAAATTAGGGAGTTACTAATGGAGTTCAGTGCACAAATGGAGAGGGAGAGGAAAACTTATGAACATAATGCTAGTTCATTTAACATCAAAACATGACTTGGCATTACATATAAACCAATATATTAACAATAGTAACATTTTCCTCCAGTATAGCTCCATTCTGGTTGTAACAGACAATAAAGCATACAGTTATCCTGTGAAGAGAATCTTTGAATCTTGCTGAACTGTTTACGAAAGGAAGCAATACAATTACAGTCAAGTAACAAACTTTGAAAGCAAATCCTCCACTTTGGTACAAAAGGTTCTCAGTTTTAAATTCAAACGATTACAATTAGGTTGTAGTAGAAATTAGTTTTTTAACCTATCTAATTCTCCCATAAATTGTATCATTTCAATAAAGTAAACGTTAGTTTTAATAGCAAAATACTATTTGTTCCTAGTCTTATCTCATTATGAAACTTTACATTGATAGAAATAACTCTGAAATGGAAATGAAGAGATACAGATTGTGTTTGTATGTGTACAAGATTGAATCTCCCTTTGCATTTTTATGGGAATTATAATCATGTATAACTCAAAAAATTATGTCAAAAATTTGACCTTAAAAACTGCACCAATTTACATATACATGGGTCTATACCAGGCATCGGCCCTCCAGGTGTTTTGGACTTCCAACTCCTACCGGCTGTTAGGAATTGTGGAAATTGAAGTCCAAAACACCTGGAGGGCCGAAGTCTGCCCATGCCTGGTCTATACAGTAATACTGTACTGAAAGCAGTCCATCTAGGCAGTCTTCTTTAATCCTCAAAGCAAGGTTCCTTCTGAACAAATCTTACAAAAAAAAAAAAAACGTGATAGGATCATCATACATTGGAATTGACTTGAAAGCATACAACACAGAAGTCCATATTCAATGTTGCAAAACTTGGAAGAAAAAAATAGTCTTACGTGGCATGATTCCCTGGTCTACTAACTGTTCTCTTGTCCGCCTTTGCTGTAGCCTCAATTGCAGTACTGGCAATAAAAAAGAGATGGGATGATTACTTATTAAATAGGAACATCATCTTACAGATAGTAAAATACACTGCATGCAACACAATGAAACTTGAGCAACTTGTAACAAAATTTGAAAAAAAAAATCTGTTTCTGGTTTGAAAATGTTATTTCCTGTATAAGTGTGCAGTACTTACTTTGAAAGTAATAGTTATACTCCAAAAGCTGCCATCTTTAACCTTTCAATGTGCCATTTTTAACATTTCATATGCCATTTTTAATGTTTTGTGCAGACTGCAAAAACAAAGCTTTTGCAGGGTTGTTGTAGGTTTTTCCGGGCTATATGGCCATGTTCTGGAGGCAATTTTTCTCCTGACATTTCGCCTGCATCTATGGAAAGCATCCTCAGAGGTAGTGAGGTCTGTTGGAAGTAGGAAAAATGGGTTTATATATCTGTGGAATTACCAGGGTGAGACAAAGGACTTTTGTCTGCTGGAGCTAGGTGTGAATGTTTCTGACCACCTTGATTAGCACAGTCAGCCCATTGTATGCTAATCAAGGTGGTCAGTTGAAAGATTCACACCTAGCCCAACTTACAAAAGCCCTTTGTCTCACCCTGGTCATTCCACAGATATATAAACCCATTTTTCCTACTTCCAACAGACCTCACTACCTCTGAGGATGCTTGCCATAGATGCAGGAGAAACCTCAGGAGAAAAATTGCCTCCAAAACATGGCCATATAGCCTGGAAAAACCTACAACAACCCAGTGATTCCGGCCATGAAAGCCTTCGACAATACAAAGCTTTTGCAGTTTAATAAACATTTTCCATGTTTTTATAATAGAACCAATTAAGAAATGACATTTATAACCCAGGAACAACTATCGTCTTACATAGTGTTATCATTGATTTATTTATGAATTATTTATTTATTTATTGCAAGTTGTTTGAAAGTTCTGGTTGGTTTTTAAAATAAATTTTTATTGAACGCATTTCTGTGTTTACATGAATAAAAATTGGGGGTAAGTCGAAATTGGGCACATGCAGGAATGACCATATGGAAGAGGTATAAAGGTGGGGGGGGGGTTGGTTGTTTATTTCTAAATCTCCTTCTCCACACTGTAAGATTTTAGTCCTTATTAGTGAGATTCTCTCAGTAATGGCTTCTCCCTTCTTTAATTTCTTTAATTTCATCCTGCTTTCTTCTCAATTTTGATTTCAGTTTTGGTTTCTGGAAATGACAGGTGTCTAACACTTTGTCTGTCCTTGAAAGTCAGTCATAAAGTCATCAAATAATTTCCAGTCTGTCTTCTTGATCGGTCTTCCATGCGAGTCTTTTAAAGCAAATATCAATTTATCAATTTCTTTCATTTATTGACTTTGTTTAACCATTCTTCTGAATTTGCTAATTCTCTTAATTTCCATTTTTTTGCATGCACCATTCTGGCCATGCTGGTTAAATAGGTAAATAAGGTATCTTTGTTTTGGTCCAGCTCAATCTCTTCATCAGTTAATCCTAGTAGGAAGTATTCTGGTTTCATCTGAACTTTAGTTTGGAGTATTTTTTCACATGCTTCCTGTATTGTTTTCCAGTAGGTTTTTACTTTGGTACATGTCCACCATGCATGGTAAAATCTTCCAACTTGATGTTCACACTTCCAACATTTGTTATTTTTTTTTATACATTAGGCCTAATTTTTGTGGAGTCATGTACCATCTGTAAAACATCTTGTAACAATTTTCTTTCGTATCTGTGGAGTACGTGTATTTAATTTTTTGGACCATATCTGTTCACATTCTTTGAATTTTATTAGTCTGTCTATATCTGTCGCCTACTTGTCATGCACTCCTTTACGGATTCTGTGTCCGTAGCCCATTCGAGTAACTTGTTATATATATTAGTTATATTCTTCTTGTCTTTTCGTATTATTCTCTCCCAAAAATCATCTTTCTCTAGGAAGCCTGCATCTTTATCCTTGTTGAAGTATTCTTTTAACTGAAGATGTTGGAACCAAGAAAATGATTTAAATTGTTGGGCTATCTCTTCTTTCGTTTTCAATTGTAACTTGCCGTCTTTCTTTGTTAGAGTATCTCTATAGGTGGGCCACCTTGTCCAATCCAGTAGCCTTCTTTGTCCCGCTTCCAAAGGGGAAATCCACATAGGTGTCTTTGGAAGTTCTGGTTGACTGAATGCCAGTGAACTAGGGATGTGGACAGGATCCTTGGAGCCTCCCAAATCCAGGGGGTTGGGGATGAAATGGATTATCTGGATGTATTTCAATCTGGTTTCAGGGCTTATTATGGGGCAGAGACAGCTTTGGCCACCTTGGTGGATGACCTACGCAGAGAACTAGCTAGGAGGAGTGAGTCCCTGCTTGTTTTTCTGGACTTCTCAGTGGCGTTTGACACATTGGCTCACTGGGATGGCACTTGGAGGCACTGTTTTATAGAGGCTCTGTTCCTTCCTGGAGGACCAAATCTAGAAGGTGGTGCTGAAAGATTCCTGTTAGGAGTCCCAACCACTGACCTGTAGGGTTCCTCAGAAGTTTGTGTCCCCCCCCCTCCCCCCATGCTATTGAACATATACATGAAACCACTGGGAGAGGTAATCTGGACTTCTGGGATACGGTGCTATCTATTTGCAGGTGAGACCGAACTCTGCTACCCCTTTCCACCTAAAGCCAAGAAAGATGTCCTGGTTCTAAAGGAATGCCTGACACCAGTAACGGACTGGATGAGGCCAACCAAATTGAAACTGTATCTGGAGAAGACAGAAGTACTCATGGACAGTTGGAACGCAGATCAGAGAATAGACATTTAACCTGTGCTGGATGAGGGTACATTCCCCTCAAACACAAGTTCATAGTTTGGGTGTCCTTCTGAACTCAGGATTGAACCTGGGGGTCCAGTTGACTGTGGCGGCCAGGAGTGTCTTTGCACATTTAAAATTTGTGTGCCAAATGTGCCCATTTCTTGAGATGTCAGATCTGGCCATGGTTATACATGTCTTGGTTACATCATCATCATCATCATCATCATCATCATTGAATTTGGATTAATGTAGCATGCTCTACTTGAGCCTGCCTTTGAAGAGTGTTTGTAATTGTTGGCTCGTGCAAAGAGCTGCAGCCAGATTGGGGATGGCTACAGGGAGTGCATAACTCCCTTGTTGCAACAGCTCTACTGGCTGCCAGTTTGTTTCTGGGCACAATTCAAAGTGCTGATCATAACCAATAAAGTCCTACATGGCTCAGGTCCAGGCTATTTGACGGATCGTATCTCCCTGTACAAACCTGCTTCCTTCCCACACAATCTTTCTTCTCTCCTCTCCCTTTCAGCTAGCCTAGTTTTCTCTATACTTTACATTCAACATGCAGTTTGATGGTCAGAATCATCTGACAAACACTGAGTCAAGCAGTTATAAATAAACCCCAGGCGTGATTTTCAAGCTAGTGTCCCAATTGTGACAGTCCCTGATCTGGCAACAGTGTTTTAATAACATCCCATTTTAATTGCTGTAATGCATTCTAGTTGGGGCTGTCTTTGAAGAAGACAGAAACTTCCGTTCATACAAAGAACTTCGGCCTATGACATTTTTGGAAATAGATCATATAGCCTTACTAAACCAACAGCTCCACTGGCTACTGGTCTGTAAGCAGCCTGACCATTTCCGAAGAAAGGCATCTCCTTGAGATTCAGTATAGAGAAGATTCCCCATTGAACTTGAGATCACTTATAAATAGATACCATTGGGAACACTTCTGGAGGGAGGGGAGATGCTCACTCGTACCACTCATACTCGCTATCTTACAAAATGGTACCATGTGCATGAGGTGCATTGCCACTCATCCCATCAATTTGAATCTCGGTACCGATCCGTCTGTTTCCTCACCATCAGTATTCATCCAAATATGGCCACCATTGGGTTGTCCAATGTTGGATGGACATCCTTTTCTGATATCAAGGTGGTGTCCTCTTGTGCATCACTGAGAATGACTACTCTGGCCACTATACCAGTGTGATGAGCCTTACAGAAACATCTTTCATCAGTAGGAACACCTGTACTGTGCCAGGCAAGAGGTTGTGACTGGTGTACGTTTTCCTTTTTCATTTATAATGACTGGGAGAAGGGGGCAGAAGGAATTAAGCAGAGGCTGGATGGTAATTTTTCAGCAGTCTTTTGGTTGTATTTTCCTGAATGGCATGGGGTTGGACAGGATGGCCCTTGTGGTCTCTTCCAAATCTAAGATTTTATGATTTCTGAGAAAAGTTTACTTGACAAGAGGGTAATTTCAAGAAGGGTGTACTTCTGAATGAATTCTGCCAGGATCTGTAGTAATGAGTGTTCTGTAATATGAGGAAGGTAATACTTTGAGATTGCACAATAAGCACTAACAAGTCAATTCAGATCTTGAAAATGCATGCCTAGATTTTTATACTGTCGTATTTTTAACTTGTTTCTTCGAGCATTATTTTCCAGCTAGAGGTTGGGCAGATTTTGTTGCAACCCCCTTTGAAGCCTGACATAAGAGTATGCCTCTTCTGCTTGCTGTGACTTGATTTTTGCTGCTCATAATGAGAATCAACAGTTTGGAAAACAAAACACCTTCACAATGAATGTTGGCAGATGTGCCTGGACAAGGTGCTTTCTTTTCTTTGATTGTATGTGGGTCAGACAATGGCAAACTGCAGCTCTTATAAAATAGCTGTTTGACACATTAAGTAATCAGTATCTTTCTTTCAATTTTGAATTACTGTAAGAATGCGTTCTGACAAGAATACTCCCCAAACTTGAAGATATATTATTGTAGCAACAGGTATGGATTTCATGGTATTTCAAGATAATGGTTTGGAGAGGCATTTTAATAACAGTTTGAAATGAAATGGAGTTGATATGTTTCAACATTTAGGGGGAATCCTTAAAGTTTGCAGATGACACAAAACTGGGAGGGGTAGCTAACATTTTGGAGGAAAAGAGCAAAATTGAAAAGCATGGTGATAAACTAGAAAACTAAACTAAAATATTTTAAAATAACTTTGCTATTGCATCACATTGCTAGCTCATGGTAAACTTATCATCTGTTGAAATTAACAGAAGTTTAACAAGATAAATGCAAAAATCTATATTCAGGCCACAAAAGCCAAATGCACAGGCCGGGGAATGCTTTGATCAGTAGTAGTAAACATGAAATTATTGTTGGAAGTATTGTTGACAATAAGTTGAACATAAGCTAACAATTTGATGCTACAGCAAAAATATTTTAGAATATTTTAACCTGCATTATTAGAACCACAGTTTCTAAGTCAAGCAATGTAATAGCCCTAGTGTATACTGGGCTTGTTGAGACTCATCTGGAGTATTGTGTTCAGTTCTGGGCAACTCATTTTAAGAAGCATATAGATACGATGGAGCAGGTTCATGGAAGGGCGACAAGGATAACAAAGATAAGAAAAATGGAGGAAAAACATATGGGTTGAAGGGGTTGGGCAAGTTTGACCTGGTGAAGAGAAAAACGCGGGGTGACAATTGCTCTCTTAAATCCCTCCAGGTTTATCACAGAGGGGAGAGTACAGATTGTTCTCTGCTGCCTCAGAAGGCAAGACCAGGTCTAATGATTTTAAGTTTTATGACGGGAAATTCGACTGAACATTAGAAGGAACAGCTTGATGTAAGAACAATTTGGCAATGGGACCAACTGCTCAAAGAAGTGGTAGGGCCCTCAGGCTACAGTCTACCCTGTAATGTTCCATTCAAGTGTAGGGCTGAAAGCATGTCGGAGCGTAACAGCCTTTAGGTGAGGATGCCCCTCTCAGCCACACATAGGAAGGAGTTCAGAGTGGAAGCAAGAACACAGTGGCTGTAGCTAGATGATATTCCAGGCTGATTTATTTATTTTGGCTATTTGTATGCAAGGAAAAAGGGACTGTGGTGGAGGAGGGGATTAAGTCTAGCAGTAACTGCTCTTTATTAGCCAAAAGAAAGGCTTCTTAAACCTTTTCTGCTTGCGACCCCTCTCTGCCCAATACATTTTTATATGACCCTAGATATGTGGATATATAAAATAAGCATCAAAATCAAACATTTACTTATTACAAATAAGCATTTGCAAGTCTTGCTAAACAGGCTAATGTACTTTTTTGTGGAGTATAGCTGAAGCATTTTCTGCCCGGGTCCATTGTAAACACTGCACACTGTTGCTAACAGATTGGCATACATTGGTGGCATTCATAAACCTTTTATTGTTATCAATTTTTTTCGTGACTCCAACACTCAGCTAAGGTGACTCCCATTTGGGGACGGGACCCACAGTTTAAGAAAGCTTGGCACACATCCAAGGAGTGCAAAGCATTGACCAAATCAGAGGCAGGATTAAGATCAATAGGCAGGATATTGGTTGATATGAGTGTCTGGGACAATGTTAGAAAAAGAGGGAGGATAGCTTCTTTATTTTATTTTTTAAATGTCTTTCATCCTCCCATCCATAATTCATAAAGTAACAAACCTAATGTCTGTCAATTAGCATAGGTCTAAATTTTCTTCCATTCTTCTACATGCTACTTGTATATAATCTGAAAGTTTAATATTCATTTTTCCAAGAGAACCTGATCCCAAGAGAGATTAAGTTCCGCAAAAGTATGGGTTGTGTAAACAATGAATGGTTTTTAAATGATTTCAAATAAATCTTCTTTTATTTGCCCTCTGGCTGTTATATTTTTCTGACAGTACTATGCACCATATAATGTTTAGGCCTCTTTGTATTGAGAGTGTGACAGTGTACAATTCTTATTCAGAAAATTAGTTGGAAAACCTTGATATCAAATCTAAAAAAAGGTGCAGCTAAAAAATAAAGCAAATGTTTCTACATGGGTTCAATTAAGTATCCTTTGTCAAACAAGTACAACTATGATGAAGACCACACCAAATGGAAGCTTGACTGGTTTCCAGGCACATTCTTATTAGAATGTCCTGTCTTCTAGCCAAAAGAAATAAAAAGAAAGAGCCAAGATACTAAATTACATACATCCCCAAGGAAATAAAACTAGAATTTACAATTAAAATCTAAATAATAAATGGGTTTGGTGTGAGTGTGCATATCCATGCACATCTTGATATTGAACACTCAGAAGGCATAACAAATCTATATAATTAAAAATGTAATGTTCATTTGTGAGATTATCATAACTCAAAAACCACTGGACGAATTGACACCAAATCTGGACATAATACACGTATCAGGCCAACAAGTGACCATCACTCATAAAAAACCCCTGGAAAACACAGAAGAAGAGACTTAAAAAGCCAAAAAACAAAAAATACATTACAATGCATGCACAAAACCACACATATATACGCAAACACACATATATACACATACACAAATATATACACACACAAAGCACACATACACAGACTGGGCCACAGCAACGCATGGCAGGGGATGGCTAGTATATCATAAAAGGACACTATACCTGGTTTTTCATAAAGGGAACAGGCATAGAAGCTTATGATACAGTATATGGCAAATTTTGCAATGTTGCTGAAATATGCTCAATCCCTTTTGCTGTTCCTGCTATCATGTGCCTTCAAGTTATTTTCTAACTTACTAGCTGTCCCCTGCCACGCGTTGCTGTGGCCCAGCCTGGTGATTCGGAACATACAGTAATGAGAAATTGTTGGTTTCTCATATATGTAATTTCTTTATGGTTGTGGTAAACAGTGTTTCTTGCTGTTTCTTTGTCAGTATTGATGTGGAGAGTGTCTGGTTTGCCTACTCTGGAACATACAGCATATTATTGTCCTTCTTTAGGGGTCCCTTTCAAATCTATGATACTATATCTGTGTGTGAAAGAGAATCATATATATTTATCTATATCTATGGCTAGATGGCTCTTTGTCTGGAGGGCTTTATGTTTTCTTGCTCTGGTGAAGGGAGTTGGACTGGATGGCCTTAAGGCAGCATTTCTCAACCTGGGGTTTGGGACCCCTGGAGTGGGGGAGGGTTGTGAGGGAGTGTCAGAAGGGTCACCAAAGACCACCAGAAAACACAGTATTTTCTGTTGGTCATGAGGGTTCTGTGTGGTAAGTTTGCCCCAATTTCATCAGAATGCTCCTTGATTGTAGGTGAACTATAAATCCCAGTAAGTACAACTCCAAATGTCAAGGTCTATTTCCCCAAAACTCCATCTGTGTTTATATTTGAGTATTCGTGCCAAGTTTGGTCCAGATCCTTCATTGTTTGAGTCCACAGTGCTCTCTAGATGTAGGTGAACTACAACTCCCAAACCCAAGGCCAATGCCTACCAAACCCTTCTAGTGTTTTCTGTTGGTCAGGGAAGTCCTGTGTGCCAAGTTTGCTTCAATTCCATCATTGGTGGAGTTCAGAATGTTCTTTGATTGTAGGTGAACTATAAATCCCAGCAACTACAACTCCCAAATGACAAAAATCATAATTTTTTGAGTGATGGTCACTCCTTGTGTAGTGAAACGTTTTGTTGCCAAATTTGGTGTGATTTCGTTCATTGGTTCTTTTGTTTTTAAGGTACTCATTATGCACAGAGCATTTATATATATATAGATAGATGGCAACTTATGGCAACCCTAAAGTGAATCTATTATGAGGTTTTCCTGACCAGATTTGTTCAGAAGGTGTTTTTTCCTTGCTTCCTTTGAGGCTGAGATAATGTAACTTGCCCAAGGTCATCCAGTGGGTTTCCATGGCTGAGCAGGGATTTGAATCCTGGTGTCCAGAGTCAAAGTCCAGTGCTCAAAGCACTAGACTACATTAGCTCTCTTACCTGTTACTGGGCATCTAATAGCAATGAAAGCAAGTGTAAGATAAAAATAACAACTGTCGTTAGATCAAGGAGCCACACCTAGCATCAATGTCTTGTACTCACCATTCTTCCTTTCGGTGAGGGAGGGCAACCACTGGTTGGGCTGCAAGGAAAGTTCCTGAAGTTCATGAGCAACGGCTTCACTGTGAGGACTGGGTGCAAGGCGTGATAATAACCCAGATTCATCTTCTAGATCCACCATCCCGAAGTGCTCCATTGTATTCAGGAAGCTTGAGACATTGAGAATAATGGGTGGTTTAGAGGTAGCAAATTGTAAGAGAAATACAGCAAGCCATCAGCAACTGAATCTAGCTAGGCCAAGTTCATCTTAACTTTCAAAGTCCCTTATAACCTGAAAACAACCACTCAGTTTTCCCATTGAGATTATCCCATGACTTTTTACTTCTTCAATTCCATCAACTTTAGCTATCCAAAAGACCCTGTTATTTCTCCCTTATTCTCCCATATGGACAATACTTTGCCTCAGAACACCTCCTTTTTTTAGTATATTTTTTTAGGTTTTCCATATTTACAATAAAAGAGAAAAATAGGGGGGTTACATAGGTATTGGGGTAGAAATAAGTAACGGGAGTGGGAGTGACAGAGGGAGGAAAGGGTACTATTGATAGAAGGGGGGGCGGAGGATTGGGGAAGGGAATGGTATTGTACTTCCAGGACTACCCAGGTTGTCTCCACCCATTGTACCAATTATACATGTTTGTCCTTTCTTCTACATATACATGTTATTTTGCATATTCTTATCTGAGAAATCGTATACGCTCTTACACAAACATATTATTGTCCTTGCTTATTTTTGTTATTATCTTCTTGATTATATTTACCTTGGATTTCAATTACAGGTCTATTCAATTACAACAACTGCATTGGCTACCAATAGAACATTGGATCTCTTACAAGATACTGATCCTGACATTTAGAGCTCAAAATGGCCAAGGACCTTTATATCCTAGGGACTGCCTCATTCATAGAATCATAGAATCAAAGAGTTGGAAGAGACCTCATGGGCCATCCAGTTCAACCCCCTGCCAAGAAGCAGGAATATTGCATTCAAATCACCCCTGACAGATGGCCATCCAGCCTCTGTTTAAAAGCTTCCAAAGAAGGAGCCTCCACCACACTCCGGAGCAGAGAGTTCCACTGCTGAACGGCTCTTACAGCCAGGAAGTTCTTCCTCGTGTTCAGATGGAATCTCCTCTCTTGTAGTTTGAAGCCATTGTTCCGCGTCCTAGTCTCCAACGAAGCAGAAAACAAGCTTGCTCCCTCCTCCCTGTGGCTTCCTCTCACATATTAATACATGGCTATCATATCTCCTCTCAGCCTTCTCTTCTTCAGGCTAAACATGCCCAGCTCCTTAAGCCGCTCCTCATAGGGCTTGTTCTCCAGACCCTTGATCATTTTGGTCGCCCTCCTCTGGACACATTCCAGCTTGTCAATATCTCTCTTGAATTGTGGTTCCCAGAATTGGACACAATATTCCAGATGTGGTCTAACCAAAGCAGAATAGAGGGGTAGCATTACTTCCTTAGATCTAGACACTATGCTCCTATTGATGCAGGCCAAAATCCCATTGGCTTTTTTTGCCGCCACATCACATTGTTGGCTCATGTTTAACTTGTTGTCCACGAGGACTCCAAGATCTTTTTCACACGTACTTCTCTCGAGCCAGGCGTCACCCATTCTGTATCTTTGCATTTCATTTTTTCTGCCGAAGTGGAGTATCTTGCATTTGTCACTGTTGAACTTCATTTTGTTAGTTTTGGCCAGGGAAAAAGATTCCTTTTTCCCATCAGTGGTTACCTCGATCCACCCAAGAAAATCTCCTATACATACCAGGCCCTAGGGAGGTACACCTGGAAGCTACACGGCGTAGAGCTTTTTCGATCTATTCTCCAATTCCGTGGAACTTATTGCTTCCGTATATTAGAGAAATGTCGGAGTTGCGACCTTTTGTAAAAACACTCAAGACTTGGCTGTTTGGTTGTGCATTTAAGTAAAGTGATCAGATCTAATTTGCCAAATAGTCACTGTTGTATGTTTTTATGTTGAATGTTTTTATATTGTGTAAATGCTATTTTAAATTTTAAGTCGCTCGGAGCACCTTGGTGGAAAGCGACTTCCTTTACGAAATCTAAAACTGCTTTCCAGTTAGTTTTTTTGCGGTTTTGTATAGCTATGCGAAATTCTTTGTGTCAGTATATCCATACTAATTATGTCCATTATTTTCACTATCCACTGCTCTATTGTGGGAATTTCCTTTGTTTTCCATACTTTTGCCAAGGTCATCCTAGCGTCTGTAATTAGGTAAAAAAAAATTTATCCTTTTTTTTTTTCTATTTTGGTGTCTAATATTCCCAACAGTAATGTCTCCGGTTTTGGGTTAAATTTTATGTTTAGAATCTTTTCCATTTTTTTTATGTATTTGTAGCCAATAATTTTTGACTTTTCTGCAGCCCCACCACATGTGAATAAAGTATTTTTCTTTTTCGCATTTCCATAGGTCTTTCGTTTTGCCCTTGTTAATTTTTGCCAAAATTTCTGGTGTTAAATACCATCTAAAGAAGATCTTACATCAGCTCTCCTTGAGATCTGTCGCATATGTATATATGATTTTTTTTTTGCCAAATCTCTTCCCAATTCATTAACAGTATAGATTGGCCAACGTCTTTCGAGCAGTTTATCATGTTGTCTTTTATTTGTTCTGTCTCCGTGGTCCACACTAATAATTGGTTGTATATTTTTTTATTAATTTTGTATCTGTGTTTATTATTTTATTCCAGAATGTCTCTTTCATTTCGAAGCCTATTGCTTTATCAATTTTGAAGTTTTCTTTTATTTGGTGGTACTGAAACCATGAGATGGAGGGATCTATTAATGTCAGTTCTTCTTGTGATTTAAGCATTGCTTCTTGGTTTTTAATCTTGACCAGTTGTTTGTAGGTCAGCCATTTCTCTCTCAGTATCTCTCTTTTATGATAGGCCTCATTGGGGGAGAACCACATTGGTGTCTTTTGGTGAAATCTGTCTTTATACTTGTTCCATGTCTGTATGAGTGCTGCTTGTATCGGTTTTTTTTCTTTTTTCCCTTCCTTCTCCAGAGATAAGCATGCCAGCCCTGAGCAATATCGAAGACTTCCAGCGCAAGGATTTTCTTTTTTTCCAACGTTCCCCAGTCTCTTATCCAACTTAAGGCCACTGCTTCATAATATAGTTGTATTTCTGGTAGAGCAAGGCCTCCTCTTTTTTTTATCATCAATTAGTTTTTTAGCACTTATCCTATTGTTTTTCCCCTCTCCGTATAAATTTGATTATCTCTTTTTGCCATCCCTGGAGCATCGTGCTCGATCTTAAGATTGGGAGCGACTGGAAGATAAATAAGATGCCTGGCAGGACATTCTTTTTAGTGATTGCCACTCTTCCCAAAAGGGAGAGGTTCAGATGTTCCCATTTCTTTAATTTATTTTTAATTTCTATCCATTTTTTTCGTAGTTGTTCTTTATCAGGTGTGAATTGCTGGGTGCAATTATTATTCCCAAATATTTTACTTTTGAAACTACTTTAATTCCGTGACTTCCGGTTAAGATGGCGACATGCTAGCAGCTAACCTCCCGTCCGGGTAAGGCGATAGCTTGGTATCCGAGCTCAATCTGATCCATCCACCCCTATTCCGAGCCCCTTTCATCGGCTCCTGAACCGGCTTCTCCTCAGGACCCCGAAGGGGGGCCTGGGGGGGGCAAATTGGAAGGAACCAGGGAGAAGGGAGAGGAAGAAGGTAGAGCGAAGGCCGCCGCCATCATTTGGCCTGCACGCTCCCTTCAAATTTGCTTGCTCGGCCTGGCTTAGCACACCTACCTCGCCAATTACCATCCCGCTGAGGCGATTCCGGAGGGAAGCTGGAGGGAAGCAGGGACGGCCGTCCCTTGGAGTGGAGTTGGCAACTCGCGGGTTGAGCCGTAAGCTCCTGACTCGACCGCGGCTGGAGTTGCAATCCTAGGCCAGCCGGAGTGGTGACCCGGGCCAGCGGAGGCGGACCGAGGGACTGCCGGGGCTAGAAAGAACTATTGGGGCTGTGGCCGGCCGTTCTGGGCGCAGCAGTGCTGCAGTGCTGGGGTGGCTTGGCTCACAGACGGCAGCGTTTTCCATCTGGCGCTGCCTGCCTGCACCCCCGGCGTGACTTCGCTCCAGTCCTGTCGTAGCCTCCCGTGCTCCATCGAGGCTCTCTAGCCGGACTTTTCTGACCGGAGGCTTTCTGGCTGGGCCTTCCTGGCTGGTTCTCCGGCGTATTCATTCCACCATTGGAGGGTCCAGCGGTGACTCAGCATTTCCAGGGAGCCGCGAGCCGGTTTGTGATCTTCCGCACCCTTAGGTGGCGCTGTCTCGGCGGGCCATTCTCCTAAGATCTCTCTCCGCGGTCCATCTTTGGCGGAGTTTCCGGGATCGGCAGGATCTGCTGCGCCGGCGCGTGGCTGGGGGACATCCTGGCGCCGCATCCTGGCGCCGCAACGCGACAGTGCCCGCACCTAACCCAGCAGTGTCATAGCTGCTGCTACAGAACTGTTGTCGACCATCGGAGCAAATTCGATCTTTTATTGCCATCTTCATCCGCCTTGCTCCGGAAGAACTGAACATCAGACTATTAACTCATTATTAGATCCCGAAGCCGTGTGGCTTTTGGTCCAATTTCTCCTTGTTAGGATTACAACGGCCGTCAGTTGGGAGGTCTCTACATTTATATCTAGGAATTGGTTGTAATAACAAACTGTGAACTGAGAACTGGAAACAACCTTTATTGCTGCTACTTAGTTACCATAGGAATAGAGCCACCTACCCAACGCTGCTAATTTTCCATCCATTGCACTCACCCATTGAGCCACTTTAGAACTGTGCACTTTAAAACTGTTGCACTTTAACCCTACTGTTGCACTTTAACCCTATTGCTCCATTCTATTGCACTTTAATTACCAAGCACTTAACAACTTAAAACGTTAACATCTGTACTTATTGCCTGCAGCCTATTGCCTGCTATTCTTGATCACCCATGTCGCCCCTCAAATTGTGGTATTTGCTAATAATATTGCTAGCAAACGGGGGAGGGGAAAGAGGGGGGAGTAGGTGGGGAGATCCCAGAAACAACATTGCAGGATTAGGGAACAGTTGGAAGGAATTAGGGCGGCATTGCAGCAGTACAGGATTAGGGAACAATTGGAAGGAAT